GTGCATGCAAAATAAAATTGGTTATTGTGGTGTGTGATCTGCCTGCCAGCTCTGCAGGTCTGGGGCTTGTGCTGGAGGAGCCAAAGGTTGGGAGCTGTAATTGGGCAGGAGCAATAATCTCCTGTGTTAGTAAGAGCTGGATTTTCCTCACAGTGTGGTTGTGGTGTTGGTGTTTCAGAACTCATTTGGGGGGAGATTGGATGCTGGATTAGCCTGTCAGATTCCAGCAGTTTTCTACTCAATGTTCTCTCCATTTTTACAGATCTGGAGGGGTTTGTGCATGTTGTTTTGTTGTTGCCTTGTTCCTCTTCCCTTTTTCTGGCTCTTTTCCTTTTCTGATATTCCCTTGCTCCTGAAGCCTCCTGCATTTGCTTCCATTTAACTGCTGGTCTTTGTTCCATTATTCCTTTCAATGGGGGTTGATGATGTTTTGTGTTGTATTCAGAGGCTGGGATCAGACTGCATCCTGCCTCATTTTGCTGCTAAAATAGCTCTGTCTGTACAGTGAGTTCCCTTTTGACCCCACGACTGAGGAAAGAAACTCATTTTGCTCTGTGCATGGGGAATTGCTGAGTGAGTGTTTGTGTTCTGTGCTGCCATGTGAGGACAGCTCTGTCCTTAGCACTGTGTGAGCAGGAAAATGCAGAAGCTCCCTGGGGTTCCAGGAGCCTGGAGTGTCCTGCCAGGGGCAGGAGGAGGCCACAAAGCAGAAAATACCTGCTGGCACATTGTGGCTGTTTTGGGACAGGCTTGGAGCTTCTTGCAAATATTGTTTCTTCAGAGATATTGCTACACAGAAAGAAAAATTGGTGTTGTCTAACATGTCCATTGTTTAAGTGTAGCAGAGTCAGTGCCCTGAGTACTTCACAAGTTTGACCTAAATTCTGAAGAAAGGCCTGGTGTGTTCTCTGTTCTGCTAAACTGTGGGGTTTGTGGATGGTTTTTAACAAGAAACAACTCTTTCATTGTGAAAAGAGACTTCCTGAAGAGAGTTGATAGAATACAGACAGTATCTCCATTAACGTGACCTAGACTGTTACAGAAAACTGCAGAATTCTGTAAAGGTTTGTCTAAACAGGAAATGTTATCCCAAATTTAAAACTGGGTGGGTTTGAAGTAGAGATTCATTCATCAGTGTTTAACTATCTGGAGTTATTTTAGATTAGCATCAGATTTGCACACTGCTTTAAATTGCAAAACTTCCCAGCCCTGAGGATGAATTATATTGTCAAGAGCTGGTGACAGTCCACCTGAGACAGGGATTTCATTCAGAACTGCAGGTGTTTGTTTCCTGTTCAAAGAACAGTTTCTTTTTTGTCAGGTGGGATGTTCTGGAAGCCAGCTTTGGTTTGTATGAACATTGACTTGCTGATAGGATGATTATAGAAAGATTCAAATTAATATGGCATTTGAAATAGAAAATATAAATTATGCACCAAAACTACAAAAGCAAATGTTCAGGTTTTCATTGCTGCAGTGAAAAAGTGTTTTGCCTATCTGATAAATAGGGTGGTGCAGTGATAGATTTAAAAGACCCAGAGCAGTGAGATTTAAACACCTCTCTCACATCTGATACACCCATTTCAAAGTCTCCCTCAGTTCTGTGTTAAAGATAACCCAAGTGCTTGCTTTTTGCAGCATCAGGGAGCAATTATCTAATGCACGTTTACTGCTGTGAGCCAAAATGCATTTCTGCTTTTATCACTTCAGACTTTCTTGATGTATTTCAGTATTTGGAGCCATAGAAAGCTCTGGTTTCAAAGGGGCCTCCAGAGTTACCCAATCCAACTTTCTCCAGAGAGCTCAGCCTTGGATGTGGTTATTTGGGGTCCTGTCATGCCAGTTAAATCCTGGACTGTTTCCAGTGAGGGGAATTCTGCTGCTTCTCCAGGCAACTATCCTGATCTTTAGTTTTTCTAGTGAGGAATGTTTTCCCTGTATTCAGACAATGTTTCCCACAAAGCAGCTCTGTGTCTCTGCCTTTGTCCTGTCCCTGTGCATCCATATGAAAAAAGCCCCTCTGCCTTCTCTGTAGCTCCTTTTGAGGCCTGAGCCACAGCTAAACTTTTCTACTTAGTTCAATTTGGAACTTCAGATCCCTACTCTGTTTACAAGTGTATGGAACCTGTTACAGAAAAGCAATATAGACAAGATACAATGTAGACAAGAAACAAATACTTTTAGTCCATTGGATTTCTAATGTGTTATTAAAAAATAATCTTGGAGCAGGATGTTATTGCAACAGAAATTGTGGAGGTAGGATGAGTTTCCCATCTGGCAAGGCCCCCAGACCAGATGGATCCACTAATGACTTTTCTAGAGCATTTCATCAGACCCTGCTGAAACACGTGTCTGGCATCTTTAATTATCCCAAATTAACACACTTCCAGCCTTGGATGCTTGTTGATTTTCAAAGGGAAGGAAAAGGAAATGTTCCCTGAAAGATCTTCCTAACAGAGCTTTTTATTAATGAGGTATAATGTTAAAATATTGCCTGAGCTTTACTGGTTCATCCTGAATGGATGGTTTGTGTAAAAGTGCCTTTGGACACTTGGATTAAAGGGGTGTTTTGCAGCTACATCAGAGTATCAGAAAAGCAGGGCCCCTGACATGCAGGAGGAATGATGCATCTGACTCTGTGATATCAGAAGGCTAATTAATTACTTTATTATACTGTATTATTCTATACTATATTACACTACATCTAAACTGAAACTGCAGCAGCACTCAACAAAATCTTGTGATGCTGACTGACAGTCTGGACACACAGCTGGCCCTGGCAGGCCAAGGAAACAGAACACCATCACTGTGGGTAAACAATCTACTTTGCATTCTACTTTGGCACAGCACAGGAGCAGCAGGTGAGACAGGAATTGTTTGGATCATGCTTTTCTCTGCTTCTCTCAGGTTCAGGGAATGTGAATCCCACATCAGAGTGCTTTGGAATTGACACCAGTGCATTTAGCCAGGAATCCCCTTGCTTTCCTTGCCTTCCCTGGAAGGAGGGGAATGGGCACTCCCAGAGCAGTTGATCTCTGCCCCTTTCCCTGCGTGTGCAGCTGCTCCTGTGCTGTTCCCACAGAGGGAAGTTCTCTTTGCATGGGGCAGTGGCTGCCAGGGCCTGTGGGCAGCACTGACAGCTCCTGCTGCTGCTTTGATCCCTTGTTTGCATCCCAGCCCCTTAGCAAGAGGGAGTTCCTGCCCCTTTCCCTTAAACCTGGAAAACAGATACATTTTCATGGGAAATTTCTTCAGCTCACCCTGCTTGTATCTTGTCCTCCCTGTAGGAGGAATAGGAATTAATCCTGTAATAATGTGTTTTCTTTACCATAAATTGCTGTTGTTTGAATGCCTTGTCTCTTCCAACCATATTTCTGTATAACATAACAGCATTTCAGTGTTTTCCAGTGGTGCAGATATCAATGTGGTTTCATTGCAAAAGGTCCAGTTATGGGATGTTTGCTTAGAAAATGCACCTTCACAGTTCAAAACACAGCCAATCAAGTTGATTTCCAGTTAAGGGGGCAGGCAAGGGCATGGAAATCTTACACCCTGAAGACAGCATATGACCTATGTAACAGATTTTTTTAATAGTTGAACACACATCAAACATGTAAGTCATATGCAGGTAATAAACAGTCACCAAGAGTTGTTCTTGAAATTTGGCTTCATTTCCTTCCTCTAACCCACTGCTCTGTCTGCCAAAAATAAGCCCTTGGTTATCTAACAGCCAGACTGAACGTGGGCAGGGGGAGTGCATTGGAAAAGCTGGTGGCAGGAGATGAATGTCCTCAGCAGGACTGGGAAATCAGACTGCTAATTTAGGTGCCAAAAATTGATATTATTCCCTAATTTTAGTTCCCCCACTGGCTGACTGCATGCATCAGAAAGGATAAAACAAATAGCAGAGACATTCAGTACAGACATGTTGATGTTTAGGAAATGTGTTCGTGCTCTTAACCCGAGAGGAGGCTCTGGTGTGTGGGAACTGCTCTGTGCTAAATGGTGGCACGTGTAATTAAGCTCTGCTCTAGCAGTAAGGGACATTAGCACAATTAATATTTGCCTTCTGGTTCTTGAAGAAATGTATTCTAACTTAATTACAGCTACCACACTTTTAATTTGTGGTGCCACCTTTTATTGCCTGTGTAGGTGTAGAACTGAGGTCAATTAGCTGACACACAATATAATGTACAACTCTAGCCGGGGGAGGAAAGGAGGAATGGGCAGGGGAGGTAAAACAGGTAAATTGTGCTACAATTGTTCTTTTTCCATAAAATGCATATGTTTACAAAACTTTCTTAAGCTTTTTGGTTAAGTTTTCCTAATAATTAATTTTATCTGTTCCTGGGATAGCAGAAGTATTCAGCTCCCCTCAGCCACCGGTGAGTGCCAGTTTATTAATAGGATGTTTTCTTTTTCCATGTGTAGCTCACATACTCAGCCATTGTTCAAATTTGTTTCCTGGGTAACTGTGTAAAACTGCTTTTGTATTCATATGACTTTGCAAAGAGGTTTTATTCTCATTTTCATATCTGCAGGGTTGTGAGCAGACATACATGGTTCGATTCTGGTGAAACAATTTACTTCTGTGTCTGTTCTGAGATTGCTATGTTTGAACATTTGAAGATGAGAGGATTTCTTGTGTGTGTTTGTCATAGTGAACAATATCGTTATTCAGCCTCTGGACCATATTTCAGAATATTTGAGCTGATGTGCAAAAGAGGATAATTAGTAGAAAATCATCCATTACAAACCTGTGAAAGACTAAGATCTGGGTCTGTGTTCAATCAGCTTATCAATCAAAAGTACTTTAAAATTCTCTGATTATGCTTTTCCTTTTTCTAGTTGAAATATTATTACATGATAAATTGTATTCTGCACTCACTATGTCAGTCTCAGCAAAACATTTTAAGTAAATACCAGAATTGACTGAGTTTTGAAGGCAGCTGCTGTGATCATGCCCAAAGTGTGTTCTAACTGAAATGTGTTGCTTGCAGCCTTGCAGTTCACCCAGATAAAACCTTGGTAGCCACAGGGCAGGTTGGGAAGGATCCCTACATTTGCATCTGGGATTCCTACCGTGTGCAGACCGTGTCTGTCCTGAAGGATGCGCACACGCACGGCGTCGCCTGCCTGGCCTTCGACTCGGACGGCCAGGTCAGTACAGCTCCTCCCCTGGGCTCAGCTCTAGCTGTGCTTCACTGACAGATACACCTTGAATGGTTGGTGTTCCAGCAGCTCCAGGTCAGTACAGCTCCTCCCCTGGGCTCAGCTCTAGCTCACTGACAGATACACCTTGAATGGTTGGTGTTCCAGCAGCTCCAGGCCAGTACAGCTCCTCCCCTGGGCTCTGAGCTGGGCTGTAGTTCTGCTTCACTGACAGATGCACCTTGAATATTTGGTGTTTCAGCAGCTCCAGGGCTGCAGTGTTGGAGCTCCTGTTACAACTGAGTTGTGATTGCTGTTCAAGGCCTTGGTTTGTATCACAATTGTAATTGCAGTAGGACTGCAAACTCAGCTCTTGCACAGGGGGTGTTTTTGGGATGAAATGACGGCCTGGCATCCGAGTGGAGTGCACACATTGGGTGTTGGACAGGTATCCAGAGCAGAAATGCCCCTCTGTGGCTTAACTGCAGTGGCTTCACTGTGTACTTGTCACCTGCTGTCCACAGAAATCAGTTCCTGGCAAAGCCCTGAGAACCCTGCAGCTTTTCTGGCAGAACTGCACTAATCTCGCTGCTGGGAGAGTCTCCTTGGCTGGGGTGCACAGGCAATTTAATTGAATCATGGCATTAGGACACACAATGTGGCTTTCTACAATGTGATTAGTTGAGATGGTATCTTGAAACAAAATTTATAATGTAACTAAATGGTGAGCTGTTCCCAGATAAACACAATGATTTTTTCTCTCTGAAACTGTTAAAAGCTTTAGGCAAGTGGACCTAAAATTCATTTATACCTGAAAAATATTTCACAGAGCTTTGTAAATAAATATCTGGCTGTGCAATTTTTGTCATTATTGATGACAATTTTGTCCTGATGAGTTTCCTGATGTAATACTTACTAAAGTATTTTTAGGAATGCTTAGATTAGCTGATAGCAAAAACCTCAGACAAGAAAGCCCTCAGATCAACAGAACAACATTTCTAATGGTGTAATATTTTTAAAGATATTGTTATTCAGAAATAAATGCTTTTCATTTTTTTCCCCTCATGTTTAACTTCATAAGACTGGTGGTTAAATTTTTTTTAAAGGTATTTCAGCACCTCATGGGAGTGAAGACTCATGAGCCCAGGGGGTGTTTGAGGTGGAGGCCTTCCTGAAGGCCCTGATGAGTGCTTGCTGTAATTAAAATGCAAACTCACTGCCAGGTTGACCTTGCAGAACAGTGACAATTCCCTTTCTGGAAGTGCTTGAAAAATTGCAGTTTATTCTGGAAATAAAAATTTGCATTGAACACTTTTATGTCTGGAGAACGACCACTGCTGGAGGACATGAATATGGATAATGCATCTTGGCTTTTTGCTGCTCTCCCTGGCTTTGCAGGAGAGGCTGAGCCAGAATGAAAGGGCAGGGGAGGAATTCTGTGAGTATTTGGAGCTCAGAGCTGCTGGCAGTTCTGGTTTGTTTAGTCAGCGTTCCCAGGGGAGCTGGTGTCTGTCACAGGGCAAACAGACCCTGCTTGCAGCTCCCAGTACAGAGCTTTCCTTCTTTTCTATCCAGAGGCTGTTCAAAGCCAGGGAATATCTGTGTTCCAGCCCCAAAACACAAATAAATGCAGCAATCAGGAGTGGTACAGATGCAATAAGAACTGTGTTCTTTTCACTGCTAGTTCTGCCAGCTTTCCACTTCCTAAATAGAAATAGGCAGGGGCAAAGCCCAGGTGACTCTGCTGCATTCCCAGAGTGGATCTCCATGGGTTCACCCCAGCTCTGTGTGTGCTCCTGTGCAGGGGCTGCTCCATGTGCAGGGATCTCAAACAGGGCCCCCTCACCTCTCCCTGAGCCCAGTTAATTCACTTTTGCTGACCCAGAAACTCTGGGGTATCTGTTCCTTTTGGATGAATGAGTGGGGAGTTATTCCTGCTGGCCAGGCTGGAGATGGCCCTGCACAGAGAGCACAGTTGTCCTGCAGTGCCTCCCTGGCCTCGTGTTCCACAGGGTGGGGAGTGCAGATTTGTTACAGTTCCTAATGAATGGAGGTCATCCATACACAGGGGAGAGCTTGAATGCTTCCTTTGTTTATGTACCTTCAATGCAAATAGATTTGGAGTGAATTTCCAATTTTGTGTTACCTGTGTTTAATACAATCCTGATGGGAGCTGAATTTCTTGCAGAAGTGTTGCTATTTAAAAATACATATTTTAGTTTGGGCTTTTTCTGTCTGAGAAGGAGCTGCCATTTGGCAGGAGGGAAGCTCTGCTTTGTTCAAACATTTAATGAGGAGCTGTCATTTTGCCTGTAATTAAAAATGGCTTCTCTTCAATCAGGAGTTAACTACAGTTTCTCCTTAAAAGTACTGACATCTCCCCTTCACAGAATTACCTACAAAGCAGATCCTGAACTATTTTATCAGTGCCCCACAACTCAATTTCTGCTCTGAGTTATTTCAGATTAACCCTTTATGAAAATATTTTTTAATGCAGTGGGAAGGGCACTGCCATAATGTATACACACCTAATGAAAAAATTAAAAATGCAGTGCTAGGCTTCTTTAGCCAGATCTTCCAAATCTGTGTAGGTTTAAAAATAATTGTTTAATTATGTGCCCAAACTACTTGGCAGATATTTTCTACTGGTAGTTCTGGGAATTCTCTAAATAGAATTCTGTCATATTCCCTTCCAGAAGGAGAAATAAAAGTTTGTTTCGACCAAGAAAGAAATTCAGCATATCTCACTTTTCTGCTGGCTGGAGGCCTTCCTCAGCAGACCAAGGTTAAAAGAAAATATAAAGTACTGCTTAGTTTCCCATAGTGCTTTCCCTCCTGATACCAAAGTCAGCTAAGGAATAAACTTTCTAACACAATTTGAATTTTTAGAAAGCAGCCATTCCTTACTCCAGCACTGGACACAGTTGGAGGAGTGATTTTTTTTTTTTCCCTAATCAAATGTGTGTTGTGAAACTTTACAACAGGTCATTTATTCCCTCCTGATCAGACATATTACAATATACTTCCCAGGTAATACATAAACTTTCCCTACAACTAATTTCTGTGCCTCTGCCCCTTACTGGAGCTCCTTTTGTGGTCCTGAGGGTTGTCTAGAGGGGTCTCTGGAGGTTGTTCTCACTGAGAGCCTGCAATATTGTGATGGCCTTGCCTTGACTTCTCAGGGCCTGCATTGGTGTTTCTTGACACTGAACTGCCACAAGTCCCCCTCAGGTTCCTCATTATCTCTTTATCCACTGGTTCCAGCCACCTTTAATATCCTGTGTGTCTTTTATAATCTTTTATCTAATTTGCTAGTTAGTAGCTATGTTCTATTTTGCAGTCTCAAAATGAGAACATTTCTATTCTCCATGTTGTCTGTCAAGCCCCCTTTTCTTGAGACTCTTTTTAAATCAAGTCTCAATACTTCATTTTCCAGTACAGAGAGTTACAACTGCAACGTTGAATTAAATTGCTCTCTAAAATCAAGGGAGTATAATTGCAGATTGTCCTGCACTCCCTGGATGGAAAAAGCTCTCTTGGCCCTAACTCTTCCTTGTGGTTGTGGCCAGAGTACCCTGAGGGGAGGCATTTGGGAAGCCATGGATAGGCATTGTCTGCACCATGAAATAGGAGCCATTCCCAGTACTGAGTCTGCACTGCTGGGCTGCTGATGGATGCAGGGCTCCTATGTGAGATTCTCCTGTGTCCTCAGTGGCCCCACAGCTGGGAATGCTGTAACACTGACACTGACCAGCTCCTCAGTTCTGTTGACATTTTGAGTAATGTTAAAGCACTGAAATCCTTTCACATTGTGACTTCCTGCTAAAACCATAATTTTATTTCTTTGTTCCACCATACAAACTTCTTTAACTCTCCCTTCACAGCTCCATTATGACTCAGAGCCCATTGACAGAGTTCTGCCCTCCTGTAGGGTGAACCCTCCCAGGGAACCTTTTTCCTCCCAACAGTATCTGAGCACATATCCAGACTGCCCTGTGAAAACCTTGTGTTCCTCTAGGAACATTTAAATTCTCTGTATTTTTATTCACATGGAAGGAGGCTGGACTCAGAGGAACTTGTGGTATAAGTCTGTAAATGGTGGTGGGGGTGAGGGATGTTGGTTTGGGTTTTTTGGAGAGTTTTTGTTTTGTTCTTGTTTTCATTAATACCACATTGCTTGGTGCATTTCCTTATGGGACAGTGCTTGAGTTCTGCATTATTCACTAGGCAGGTTTTGCATTGGGGTTTTGCCTGTTGTCATTCTCATTAAACCAAAGTTCCAAAACATCAATTTTATTCCTCTAAATCAACAAACTGTAACTGCTGGGACAGTGGGGTGTGTGTGAAGCTGCTGCAGTTAATGCAGAGGCTGTCCAGGGCTCTCCCAGAAGGACAGACATGCACTCTGTATTTACACTCAGAAATTGGATGAAAAAGCCCTGAGTACCTGCTCTCAGAATGAAAACTGGAGCCTTCTGTTCCTCTATGAACAGTTATTTCCTCTCCCTGTTATTCAGTTGTTGAGAGCTTTATTGCATTTCCTAATACAGCATGTTAGAGGAGTCTGTGGTAATGACACTTGTTTTCTTTGCTGGCTCAGTCCTTTTGTGTTATCACTGACAGTTCCAGATTTCAAACAATTTGCTTACTCAAACTTTGAGCCAATATTTTTATGGAATTCATGTAAAGTGGGCAAAATTAGGACAGTCACTGGAAGGGAAAAGACCTACAACTTCCACAGTGATGGCTGATCTTCTGGGCATGTCACAGATGGATGCACTCTGCTTTTTCCCTGCCAGAACAACGCCTCCATTTTATTCTGTTCTTTTTATTTCTTCCATGATTGAGATGGTAAAATTATTAAAATTAAGTTTTTTTAATTGATGACCAATAAAACTTTAATGAGCTTGGTTATTAGTTCATTGTTTTAGTTATTTTAACTGGTGATGTGATACACTAAGCAATAAAAAGGCAATTATTAAAAGTACATCCAGTTCTGGTTCTAAAGCTCAACAAAATGAGCATAATGAACAAAGCAATAGCTGGAACTAGAGAAAGCTTTTATTTCCCTTTCACTCTTATTATCAGATTAATACATCAAAATACTAGAGGTGTGCACCTTAAACAAGCACCTCAGATGTTTCAGGGTAAGAATTTCATGTGGAACATTGGTGGCCTGAAATCAATAACCTGACCTTTTAGAGAAGATGAGACATTTCAGTGCTCTCTCCAGTGAGTAAATGTTGAGTGTGAATCTCTTTGCTTTTGCAATGTGGTTGAAACCCAGGTCACATGTGGGAAAATCCATTTGTGCAATAATCCTGGGAGCTACAGCAAAGTGATTTGGGTTGATTTGCTGTTAACTGGATTGTGTTGTTTCTCCTCAGCGTTTGGCTTCCGTGGGGCTGGATGCCAAAAACACGGTTTGTATTTGGGACTGGAAGAGAGGAAAGCTCCTGGCAACAGCTACAGGCCACTCTGACAGGGTAATGTATGGAAGCATTGCTGGGTTCTGTCTGCGAGCTGCATGGGTCTTTCAAAAGGCATTTTTGTTTCTGTTAGGTTGATGAAAAGGTAGTTCTGGTCATTCTATCTGGTTTTTAAAATACTGGACAAGATATTTATTCTTTTTCATTGGGCCAGACCTAGCAGAAGGCTCTGCTAGTAAACCTAGGGAGGAAATACCTTGTACCTACACACTGAGTTGGATGATCTGTAGTTCTTCATAGGAGATGTGAAATGGGAGCTCCATGGACAAAGATCATCTTGTCTCTGAGTGTGTCAAAAAGACAATTTATTCTGAGGGCAAATTTAGTTATATCCCTTTCAGTTTTCCTTAAGACAGTTACCTGGAGAAGAAGCTTGATTGAGATAAATATTTCTTTTCTGATGGCTTCAGGTAAAGGATCATAAGACAAGAACTGACCATTGTAAACTGAAGTTATAACTTAATAAAGTATAAGTTTACAATGTTATTCAGCATTAGAAAATCTTTTACCAGGTTTAGCATAAGCAAAATACTCCCCTGACATATATAAGCACGTGGATGCATAAATTAAAATAAATTATGGACACTTTCTGACAACTTGTATGTATATTATCATATTATAGCATTGTTTACATATGTGAAAGTTTTGCTGCTGACCTCAGTAAGTGCAAGATCAGGTTCTAGATAATCAGAATTCTCCAGAAAATAGGCTGGAAGTACTAAACTCTTAGTTCCAGTAGACTTTCCCTACCAGAAAAAGAAGCTTCTGCACAGAAGAGGGAGTGGGAAAAGTGCCTATGGAAATATTGTTTGTTCAATAACATCCTGGAGCTGGAGTGGATTGGCAGTGGGGAGACAAGGGTGAAGTGTGTTGACAGAACTGTGTGAGGAACCCTCTGTGTTTCCTTGAGTTTTGATTAGAAAGAGTTTCAAATTTATCTGTATAGTGTTCCTTCATTTTTAGTAATATGTTCCAACAGAAATTATGGCTGAGCCCTGGTAAAAGCAAGCTGACCCTAAATGCCATTGCTGTATAGGTTAAAATATCAGCTTAATGTATTTCTTAACAGATATTTGATATTTCCTGGGATCAATATCAGCCAAACAGAATTGTCAGCTGTGGAGTAAAACACATAAAGGTAACGAGCTTTCATTGTTTACTTGGAAAAAGTACTTGTACAAAACAATAAAAAAATCTGTGTTCTTACCTAGTGAGGACTTGAAATATAGGACATATTATATTTTTCTTTCCTTATGTGAACATTTTGCAGAATGCTTTGTTTGAAGCCAGTTCAGACATTCAGCAGTGCCTGAGCTGCAGATTACCTGAACAAGAAAGTGAGGAAGATTCTTTGATGTAATTTTCATCATTATAGATGTACAATTTTGGGTCTTCTGCCCACTCTATTCCATCCTAATGGTCTCAGCCTTCAGGGCTTTCCCTCATCCAGCATCACAGAGGTCACTGTGCAGCTGGAGGAGGAACCAAGGTAGAAAGTGTGAGCAGAGTGACCTCCTGCACTTGGGCTTCTCATGTAACACCTCTGAGAGCTGTGCAGGGCCTGCAGAGACAAAACTCTGGTGCCCCACTAATGGCTCCTCTAATCACCCTTTCTGGAAGTGTTTGAAATAGAAGCCTACATACATATTAGATGTTTAGGATAAAACATTCCTATGACTTTGAAAAGCTTAGAAACAAATCTTTGTCTGCCAATATCCCTTTCAGGTTTCTATTTTTCTCCTGTCTCCTCACAAACATTCCTAACAGATGGCAATTATTTCACATGACTGGGGGGGGGAAGAGCTTTAACTAGAAGTTTAGGAAACCAGTTAATATCTCTAGTTCTGGTTCCTGAGAAGCTCGTGCCCTTAAACCACCACTGCTTCAAACTGTGGGTGGTTTTGGCAGCAGTGATGCCATCTGTTGTGTTCTGCAGGCTGTTTTCCAAAACCTGTGTTTGTTTGGCACCTGTCTTCTCTTTAAAATGGCCATAATCACCCTGAACACAGAGAATACCAGGCACTGTAAATCCATGGAGATAAAGGAATGCCAAAAAATAGGAAAAAAGCAGCATGGAGGGGAAATTACTCTGTGTTCCCCTCCAGTGGTGCTCCAGCAGCTCCTTGGTACGAGGCTGTGGGAATGTGATGATAACAGCTCTGAAGGAATTGTATCACTGTGGGAACTGGGCTGTTTATTCTTTTAGCAGTCCAGTTCTGCTGGCTCATTTGGCTGAGCAGGGATTAGAAGCTGAGGTAAAGCCCAGGAGCTCAGGAATCTCTCCCTGAGCTCAGGATCCTCCCTCCACCCTTCTACCACTGCTGCCTCAGTGTTAGAGAGCTCCTTCCTTCTAGCACTCCTTCCTCAGCTGACCAGAAAGGAGGAGAGTTTAGAATTTAGGTTTTACTCAAGCAATGAGAGCCCTGGGGACAATGCTCCCTCTGCCTTCTAAATTGGCTGATATTCTGAGGCAAAGGGAATATTTAATTGAATTAAAGAGAAGGAGCTGAAATAAAAAAATCTTGATCCAAGGATTTTCTGGAAAAAAGAATTTTAGAAAAATACCGAAAAATTTGGCTGTAGGCAAATGAAGTGGGAACAGAAGGATGTGATGAATCCATGTCAGACACATCACTATTCCTGTCCAGTGTCTGCCAGATGACAGAGCAGGGGTGGCTGCGCTGACGCACTGTGCTGTGCTGCACCCCAGAGATTTGCTGTTCTGTATCTGCACCTGTCCAGAATGTCCTGGTGCTGACAGGACTGGAGATTTCAGCACTTCTCTTGCACATCTCTCATTGATATTCTCTTTATTCTGCCTTCCCTGGCATGTCTGGTCCTTGAGGGGGAGCTGAGTACAAAAACTGTGGTCTCTGCTTGACAAATGATATTTATTTAAATTAAAAAAAAAAGCACTCTTACTAAAAAATAGTCTGATATTTCTAGCTCACCTCCAAAGACAACCTTCTGAGACAAACTTTGTTTTCTTCACTCCTCTTCCCCAGTCAGTCTTAGATTCCTTTTTGCAGAATGTTAATGACTTTGGGGTGGCAGCTGGAAGTCCCCTTTCCTCACTTGGGAACCTGCTACTCTGAGTCAGGGAGCTGTCTCATGTACAAGTGTTTGCAGTCCCCATGAACAGATGGTTTCTCAGTAACTGTGACTATATTTGAGGGGCAGAACTCTCTCAGTGCTCTGGAGAAGGACAGAAATGTCTGCTCCAGCACACAGGTTGTGTAAGATAAAGCATTCTATCACTTCAGTGCTGTAGCTGTGTTTTGCAGACAAATTGGATTTGCTTGGGTTTAAAAACATGCACTTGTCTGGACAGCATTTCCCAGCAAAACCTGATAAAGGACAGTGAGAATGAGAAGGGGCAGTGAGGCAGCATTGAGCCTCATCCCCTCAGGCAGTTTGAGCCTTTGTTTTGGGTTTAGATGTTCTATATTTGCCTGGATCTTTCCTTGGTAAATGGGCAGGCTTTGGGGTAGTGAGTGTTCTGATAGGACTGAAGGAATCTCTTCAGTGCCTGCCCAGACGCTGCTCTGTCAGGATGTGTGTCTGAGAGCTACACACTAATGAGAAAAACCAGAAATCCTGCAGAAACCTCTCCTGATCTGCCATTTACATTTCACAGTTTTGGACACTGTGTGGAAACGCCCTGACAGCAAAGAGAGGAATATTTGGTAAAACAGGAGATCTCCAAACAATCCTGTGTTTAGCCTGTGCTAAAGAAGACATCACCTACTCTGGGGCTTTAAATGGGGACATCTATGTTTGGAAAGGGCTCAACCTGGTGCGCACAATTCAAGGAGCACACAGTGTAAGTGGTGTTTTATTTCTGTTTGATAAGGAGCTGTTCATTGAATTGGAAATCTTCCCGGAGGCTTAGCTGCAAAGAGTTCCTTCTGTTTCAGTTCAGAAGGATGGCTGAGGCTGTTCAGCAATTAAGAATTTAGATGTAATGTTGTAGTTGTTGACACATTGCCAACAGATGCTGAGCTGATAGTGCCAACACTGCTGGTATTTATAGCCTCCATCTAACCAAGTAAACCAAACCTCAGATGAAGTCTGCACATCTAAAGTTTCACAGATTGAGTAGCTTCATTATGATCAGTTTACTTAAAAGTAGTTGATAAGCAGGTTATGTAGGCTTAAATAAAATCTTCCCAATGAAATTCCCAGTGCTGGAGACTGACTCCTCAGAAGAGCTTCAGTGTGGAGCAAGCCTGTTCAATCTGGGAGTTTGCACTCCAGCCACTCTCCAAAGAGTTTATACTCCAATTGTCTCCATAACACCCACCCACAAAGCACTCTCAGTCTGCAGCTCTCATCATTACAGAGTGAAAGGGGAATGTGCAGGATTGTGTTAGATTTCTAACCAGTCCAATACAATTAATTTCTTTCTGGTTTTCAAGTAGGGATTCCTTGTCGTATTTCAAATGAGGACTGCTCCCATTTGGAATATGACTGTGGGTAATGGCATTCTGATGTGGGGTTTTTGGAACAAAAGGAAACAAGACAATTTTCTTTAGAAAAGTGGTATGACATCTAACACTTGTTACTATAGAAAGAGAACTGCAAGAATAATAGCTTTTTTCTGATCTCCCAAAATTAGTTATGGTGACAGTTCATCAGGATTTGTAGGACCTCTTCAAATGAGATCTAAGGACTGATTATTTACAAAAGTAATCCCTAATTTATGAAAGCAGAGAGACTGGAGTCAGTGGGACATTTTACCTGAGGAACTACCATGAAACTGCAACTGCAATAACACAGGAATGTCTTTGGCAAGCAATAACCCCCTGTAGTATATTAGCAGAATTCTCTTTGCAGAATTTTAGTTAGGTTCATTAAAATGATTAAATACAACCTCTTTATACATAATGTGATGAATTATGGAGTTTGCCATTGCTAACACACAATCTTTATGTAATTAATAATTAGGAATATTAATTTATGAAGACATTGCACAAAGCCACTTTGAAAATGGAGGTCTTCTCTCCATTGTATTTATCTTCATGCAGTTCAACTTATCTCCTACACAAGGTTTTCCTGATAAAATACTGGCTCAGCAGGCATTCCTTGAACTATTCCAAGGTAGTTCAGCACAGTCATTAATCATGAAGCATTTTCAAAACCAAGGAGAAATTCAGACTGTCATAGAAACTTGTTTTCAACAAAGAGAATGAACTGACACCCTTTCAGTTCCTGTCAGATCCCAAATGATGTCTGAACTGAATTCATGATGAATGTCTCAGTCACCTCTGCTCCTGTAAGAACGTTTGTATTGCTTGTTTGCTTGGTTTTGTTTATCACTGGGAACTCTTTACTTTAAGTGCTCCACTAGTTCTTCAATTGTCCTTGTCATAATATTCCCAAGCCTAAATGTGAAATTCTGCAGATAGGCTGTGTCACTGCTATTTGCACTAAGGTTTCTGCATAAACCACTCGAGTGGAGCACTTGAAATAAAAGCTGTGTTTGCTGGTTTGCTTTCTGGATGGGCAACACTTCTGTGCCCAGCAGTTTCTGGCCTTCAACAAGAGTATCTGTTTGAAAAAGTTTGCTTTGTGTGTTTAAATTGCTTGTAAAGACCTTTAAAACTTGGGCTGCTGTTGGTTGACAGGCTGGAATTTTTAGCATGTATGCCTGTGAAGAAGGCTTTGCCACTGGAGGGAGAGATGGCTGCATTCGTCTGTGGGACACTGAGTTCAAACCAATCACTAAAATTGATCTCAGGGAGACTGAGCAAGGATACAAAGGTAATGAGCTGTTCCTTTAATGGTTTTTCACACATCTGGGTAATGGATTGTGACAGCATTTAGAGTGAAGCATAGATGTCTGCATACTGCTGACTTTTTACCTTAATGGCTGTATTTATTTTGGATCTGTGTTCCCTCTCTGACAATTCTGTAACCTGTGGAGTGTTCCGTGGTTCATGGTATAAGCACAGGGATGAAATCACTGCTCCCCACCATGCAAATGCAAGAAGATAAGTGAGAGCTACTCAAACACCTTAAGATGGGAGAATGAAGTTAGTCAATCCTTAATTAATTAATTACTTGCAATTCATTTAACTAACTGAGATTTTTAGAACCCGGTACTCAGAAATGCTGACCATCTGAACACTCTACTCATGCACTTGCAATGGTAGCACTTGGCAGATTTGTTGGAGAGAATGTTATTAGATTGGTGATAATCACATTTGTTGAATCTAATCCTGCTTCCTGTGAGCTCAGTCATCGCTTTATTTTCTGATCTGAAGCACTTACAATCTCATGGATCACAATGCACACTTTATCAAGGCTGTAGTGTTCACTCATGGAATTAAGCCCTCAAAAAAACACCCGAGCAGCAGTCCCTGTGCTCTGCACTCCTGGCTTTATGTAGTTTTCTGCAGCCTCAATCATGATGTTTAGCATGAATTTCTAGAAAACAGTAGCAACAAATAACCAAAAATCAAAGATCTGGGCAAGTGAAAACTGCCTTTGAGGCTGCTCCCAACCTCTGGCAGTGGGGCTTCACTTTCAGTTGTCATTGGCACTGATGAATTTAAGCACATCTGAAGCCTCAAGCAGTGGTGGAGCCTTGATGCCTACCTGGGACCTTCTGTCCCTCCCTCCCAGTTATTTTTCCAAAGCATTTTGCAAAGGCATTATCTGTCAAACAAACCCTGAGAGCAGATAATCTTCCTTCCTGTGCTCACAGAGAACATTGCCTTTCCCACATCCAAAGGTGTGTTTGTGTTCTAAACCTCAACAATGTCCATCTTCCACCAAATTCCAATCTGAATTCCATTGCTGTGGTCATTGATAGTACCAAGATGAATGTCAGAACTTCAGTGTGAATTTAGCTAAGTCATAAAATGGTATTAGAAAAATTAAAAACTGTTGGAAGTGGACAGGAAAATAAATTAGGATTAATTTAACCTTCTCAGGAGATGAGAATATTTTAATTATGTAGCCAATATTTCACTGCATTATGTATTTGGTTCCAAAAAATGTGAAAATGATGATGTGGGTGACCTTGACTGCATGACAAATGGATTTTTTTATTCATTCACATTTCACAGCATCCAGATCTATTATCCAAACTTTTTTCATGTACTGGAACAGAAAATACCAACCCTGCAAGCAGTTGACCAGAGAGTGCTACCAAATTGCTCAGCTTGCTCAGGGGGTGTTTTTGAGCTTGTGGTTGGTAAAATTCCAGCTGCAAAGTAGAGATCAGATTGGTGGAATAAGATCAAGTTCTCTTAAAGTCATACAAAGCAAAATTCTGTTGGTTTGGGTTTGGGGAGGAGGGATACATTTTTAATTTTTTTTTAATAATCCATTTTGATTAAAGTGGAGAAGTGCGATAAAAGGGCATAAACCATATAAATTCACCATTAAAATTTTATTTAAATGTGTGAAAAAATAAAGCACTGTAAAAAGAAATAAACCAACTTCAGTCACAGGAACCCCTTGACTAATGTGAAAAACGCCAATCTCTTGTTTTTAAAATTTTAAAAGTTTATTAGTAATAAAATGGTTATAAAAATAGTAATACAATTAGAGTAATAATAATTTGGACAATAACAGGGATGTCCAGCTTCCCTTGGTCAAAACTATAAATCCTTGAGTTGATGTTCATCTTCCTTTCTCAAGCTGCTTATCTCTGTTTTGTTAAGGTGTGAGATAAGCATTTTTCCTTAATATATATTCCAAAGCTATAGTCTCAAGGATACAAACAATATTCTAAAATTATACTTCAACAGGTTATTGTTGCAAAACTCTTTAAAGCTTAACTACAAGCAAAGCGCAACATCCTTAACACTTTCATTCAAATACTCCTAAATAAGTAAGGTTAATTGTGAACAAAAGATAGGTTCAAAGGCCTTCTTCCATACTTTACTTTACTCAGTTATTATTAGAATTTGTCTTTATAACTGTCCCAGGGTAGGTTTCCACACATATCACAATCACAAATACACACTCTGTATTTCACATCTGGAATTGCAGCTGTGTTGGCTGTGCCCCCTGGCACAGCCGGCACTGAGGCAGCTCCCGCTGTGTCCCCAGGCCTGTCCATCCGCAGCGTGTGCTGGAAAGCTGACAGGCTCCTGGCAGGGACACAGGACAGCGAGATCTTCGAGGTGCTGGTGAGGGAGAGGGACAAGCCCATGCTGATCATGCAGGGCCACTGCGAGGGGGAGCTCTGGGCCCTGGCCGTGCACCCCAAGAAGCCTCTGGCGGTCACCGGCAGCGACGATCGCTCCGTGCGGTAAGGCTGCACTCCTTCCTTCATTCCATTGCTGCACATGCACCTTAAATTGTAATTTTGTAATGGATTGACTTGCTGGCCTTATGCTAAGACTCTCTTAAGACAACATTCACCTCCCCCCCCCATATTTTTCTTAGTAACTTTGTTTTTTCTCTTCAGTTTTCATACTTGGGTGCCGCACATCGTGTAAAAATAATCCGAATTTATGTTCAAAATGTGCTGCATTTATATATTCTGCTTGTATTATTGATTTAGTCCTGCTGTGTACAGGGGATCTAAATGGGGATTGGTCACCTCATATTTCTCTTCTGGTAATATCAAGCAACAAGCTTAAAGCCTAAATACTTTTGTCCAGTGTTTTACTCAGAAGGTATTTGCCTCTGCCTTGAGTGTTTAGGAAATCTGATCTAAAACTAATTCAGTTAAAATGCCAGAAAATGAGATTAACGAAAGTGCACCAACGTCATAAGGAGAGCTGGAGGGGCAGGCACTGATTGCTTCCGTCTGTGACGAGTGACAAGACCCAAGGGAACAGCTGGAGCTGAGTCAGGGGAGGTTTAGAATGGATATTAGGGAGATGTTCTTTCCCAGAGGTGGTGGGGCACTGCCCAGGCTCCCCAGGGAATGGTCACAGCCCCAAGGCTGCCAGAACTCTAGGAGTGTTTGGATAACACTCCCAGGGACACACAGGGTGGGATTATTGGGGTGTCTGTGTAGGGCCAGGAGCTGGACTGGTGATTCTGATGGGTCCCTTCCAACTCAGGATATTCTGTGATCCTGTGTTTAGTTACTCCACTTGTGTCTTCATGCTTTGCAGCAGCGTTTTTAAATTTTGTCTACATATTTGTGGACATTGTCACAAAGTCAAGGATGCTTCTTTTCCTGTCTGTGTTAAAAGCTGGCACGTTGATAAGCCTCTGGGGCAAAAAAGGCATTTTACTGCACTTAGTAAAGCCACTCTCTTGGCTGTAGAGTTTGGAGGTCCTGCTCAGACTCTTCCTGTGTCCACACCCACAGACCTGCTGTGTGTTCTCACCTCGCCTCACCTGAGCATGGACTCTGCCCAGTGGAACAGATTATTTACCTGTGGTTAAAGAGATGGGGATTTTCCTGCGTGCCAAAACTGCATCTCCTACCATACACCCTTCTGATTCCTGCTCCTTCAGATTGCACATTATGATTCACCTCTGCCTTGGGGCTTGCTGCCCTGCTGGGATTTCTTTTTTCTTCCCTTTCAGTCTTTTCACTTGTACTGGTTTCTTATCCATGCCATCCCTGATCTCATTCTAACCCCAATTAAAATCCAAGTGGGAACCCCACAGAACTGCCAGCTGTTGTCTACAGTTGTGTTTTCTCCCTGCTCCCCACAGAGGATTATTTCTCTCAGTTTGTGCAGTGCATGAATGGCCTCCTCTGCTGGGGTTTGCCTGCCCAGTGTCACAGACAGGCACAAGTGTCCTGGCAGGGGGCAGGTCAGTTCTGGAGGAAGGGCTGCAGAGCTGGGATTAGCATTGCACTGCCCTCAAGCCAATAAGCCCCTCTAAGATGGGATTTCTTGTCTTGAGCTCATCCCTTGCTGGGCAGAGTAATTCAGCTCTGGAGCTGCTGACTCAGAGCCTGACCCTGCTCGTGCCCCTCCAGGATCTGTGTGCACATCTAACCTTGATTAGTGCTGCTCTTATCATTCTTATCTCTGCTGGAGCAGTTCTGATATCCCTGATGCCTTTGGATGTGCCATTCTCTCAAATGTGCAGGGATTCCGCTGCCTGACATCACACATCTTTGGGCTGTCTGGGCACTACAGAGGGTGGCATTTGAATGCTACTGGGATTTTTTATAGACTGTGCCTTCGTGTGAGGAATTCCAGTGAAATGTATAAATACTTTCATTAAGATAAAAAGGACACAAAAGGATTTTCCTACAATTTTCTGTGATATTTAAATTGCATCCACAGGGATGTTTCTGTATTGCCCTTCATTGGGTAAATTTTCTCAGTATTCAATTATCACATTATTTTTCAAAGAGTGGGTATGTAATGGAAATCTAAATTGGTTAAGAAATAAAAGTATTTAGTGAGTCAGATGGTGTTCTTGTGTCTGGGATGTCTGAATGAAAAGGGGATTGACTGTATTTTTCCCTAGCCCAGCTGAGAGAAGTCCCTAGCCAAATATAGGTTTCTAACATTTTAAATTTCCAAAGCAAACCATCTCAATTAGGAAAGCTGCCTCTTCCCTATCTCTTACCACAGGAACAGGAGAAAATTGTCATTCTCTAAAGGCATAGAGAATTATTTATTACATTTATTAAATAAACTCCAATTAGGGTTTGCAGTTAGATTTTGCAATTAGGCTTCCAGAGTATTGGACAAAACTGATTTATGTGGAAGCAACATTTTGGAGCAATAATTGTATCCTAGTGTTTTCTTCAAAATCTTTCTAAACCTTCCTGGTTCATTCCTTGTGTTGTTTGGCTCACAGCTTCTGCCTTGTGAGACTGCAAGGTTCTTGATCCTACCTCATGTTTGTCTTTGAAAACAGTTTTAATGTCCAACATTAATTTATTTTCCACCTTCTTGTCAGGCTCCATCCAAGTTGTGTTTATGCTGTTTATTCCAGTGCCAACAACAGAACTTTTCCTTTGGACCTCTCGTGCTCCCAGAGCCTCCCAGCTCCCTGTGCAGAGCTGAGCTCAGTGGCATCCACATCCTTGGTGCCAGTGCCTTCAGTAAAAACAGGAATTGTTACTGTCCCAGAGCTTTTACTGGAACTCACAGGAGGATCTCCCATCCAGCCTGGGGGCTCCTTTCTGGCCAGCTTTGCTCTACAACTCAGCCCAGTGTCACATTACAGTTCATGCGCAAATTGTTCTTTTCTCCAGTTTAGCACATAATCACATCTGATTCAAAATTCACATATTTTACTGAAGATGTTATCAGGACATTACATTGATGACTCTAGCCTACCAAAACAAAGATAGTTGGGTATTTTCTTAATTCTTCTACCCTGAGAGAGGTCTTTTATGCATTTTTCCCCATCATTTCACTTGGTCTTTAAATTTCTAAGTATTGCAGCCTGCTGAGATCTGATGGGTCAACCTGTAGTGATTTGGGAAGCTCCTTCCATTCCTTCAGGAAAATATGGGGGCATTATTTGCCTTTGTCTTAGGACACAATTTACTGGTTGATTCTTTTCAATTGCATTGATGTGAATGAAGGAATCATTATGCAGTTTTGTCTCCTAGCTCATTCAGAGTTAGGACAAGAAAGTCTTTCCTGTGGTTGGAATATTGATGTTCCCTGAGTGTTGCTTTCAGTGAAAATTTCACTCTGAGCTGCATTGACCCTTCCTGTCTACAGAAGCTTCATTTTTATTATTCACTTTGGAGAATTCAGTCAGATAAGGGAAGTTTGGAAATACCAAACACCAAATGATGATGAAATTGAGCTTCACTCTGTTTTCTTCTACCACAGTTGTGTTCAGGTTGAAAGGAGCTCAATCCTTTACACAGTATTAACACAAGGGGTGTGTGCAAGTGATTTTCCCAGCTGAGTTAGACCTTTGGGGTTCCTCCTGAAGACACCCAAACCCTGGGCAGTCAGGAAAAGCCCCCTCCTGCTTTTCCTTCCCCTTGGGGCAGGTTGTGGAGCCTTGCTGACCATGCCTTGATCGCTCGCTGCAATATGGAGGAGGCCGTGCGGAGCGTGTCCTTCAGCCCTGACGGGTCCCAGCTGGCACTTGGGATGAAGGATGGCTCCTTCATCGTCCTCAGAGTCAGGTAAGATGAGAAAACACTGGGTATCTTATCAGAAGAAAAAGAAATAATAATTGCAGGTGCATCCATATCCCTTTTAAAAGGTGGTATTTTGGCAAAGAGGAGAAAATCTGTGCTTTAATAAATTTCAAAATATTGGTTCTTAGGAATAATGTTGATAAAATTTAAGATTTTCAGGTTTGGCTCTTTTCCTGTAGTCTGAAGGTACTAAAGGTACTGAAGCTACTAAATACAGGTATTTAGTGAGAAGAAATGTGCACAACAGAAAAAACATAGTTTGGAGAGCTATCATCTTCACTGATGATTTATTTCCTGTCATACACACACCAGGCAAAATAATTGGTAATCAAAAGACATTTGTAAGTATTTTCAAGATAAACCTGAATTCTGTTTTTTGTGTAAGTGGAAAGCCTTTTTCTACATGGCTGCATCTTAAGCATTTTCTGTCTGAAATGCTGTTATGGAGGGCGCACAAAAGCAGGTAAAGCCTTAGATGGGCCATAGAGTGAAATGGCCAAACCTCCACTGTGATTTCAAAACACAAAAGCTGTTTAATTGATATCTGGAAGAATTTACCCCCTCCTGACTGTACTCCTTATGTTTGCCAAACATATACTTAAAATACTTGGAACTCCAAACTGATAGGAGGGAAAAGCCTGGGAAAACCCCTATAATGCTCTGCTTGAGTGACTTCAACAAAACTTAAATGAGCCGTTCATATTAATTTAAAAGCCTTGCCAGTGACTATTTTTCTAAAGACGTTAATCATCTTTGTCTCCCAGTAATCTTGTCCTTGTTAATTTATCTGATGCCTCCTGGAAATCTCTGTCTTGGGTTAGGAATGCCTCTCCTTTCAGAACCTTGCTTTTAACAGTGCTGTGTCAACATTTAAGAGATAAACTTACAAAATGTATCACAGTAAAGTAATGAAGTACTAGCACTACTTCAGTAGAGCAGGTGAAGAGAATGAAGAACACTGTGGACAGGCAGAGTGGTTTCTGTCTGCTGCTTAAAAAATGCTTAAAATCAATGCTTCTCCTTTCAGGACCCTGCTTTTAACAGTGCCTTGTGTCAGGATTCAAAAGATAGACTTACCAAATGTATCTCAATAAATTTGGCTTGGATGCTGCTAGCAATCCTTCATTAGAGCAGGTGAAGAGAATGAAGAACGTTGTGGACAGGCAGAGTGGTTTCTGTCTGCTGCTTAAAAAAAGTTTAGAATCAATGCTTCTCCTTTCAGGACCCTGCTTTTAACAGTGCTATGTGTCAGGATTTAAAAGATAAACTTACAAACTGTATCTCAGTGAAGTACTGAAGTACTTTATTGGAGCAGGTGAAGAGAACATGGTGGACAGGCAGAGTGGTTTCTATCTGCTGCTTAAAAAATGCTTAGAATCAATGGAAGCGATAGGAAGTTATCCACCAAAAAAAAGGATATTTAAAGCGAAATCTAATTTCTATTGTACAAATTATTCAGTGCATCTATCTTACCTGTGCCTTGCACATTGCTGGTGTGCAGCTGTGACTGTGCCCTGTGGCCCCTGCAGGGACATGACCGAGGTGGTTCACATCAAGGACCGCAAGGAGGTGATCCATGAGATGAAGTTTTCCCCCGATGGCTCCTACCTGGCCGTGGGCTCCAACGATGGGCCCGTGGACATCTACGCTGTGGCCCAGAGATACAAAAAAATTGGGGAATGCAGCAAATCCTCCAGTTTCATCACCCACATTGACTGGTCTGTGGACAGCAAGTTCCTGCAGACCAACGATGGTGCTGGAGAGAGGCTCTTCTACAAGATGCCTTGTAAGTTTACAACAATTAAATTTTGATTTTGGTTGAAGAGAACACCACAAATATGATACAAATATTACAGGTGAAAGTGGAGTTTCCTGGCTGGAACATAGAGAAATACCCACTACTTGTTTTTTTCACATCCTCAGCTTTAAGGAAAGGCTGTCTCTGCTGTGTAAATTGCATTTTTGTTCATAGCAACCTTTACAGCTTGACTCACTCTTAGGTAACTACCAAAGCCCCTCTGTCCCTATTGTCCTTTCTTGATGAATGATTCCTGTTAGTGATCAGAATCTTTTTAAGATTATAACTAAATATAGGAGAACTGTTTGAGTCAGCTTGAATTGCTGAGGTTCTCAATGTAAAAGCTTGTTGGTAGAAACAACACTGATAACTAATTGACTTATTCTCATTCTTATTTGAGAATGCTTTCTAATATTTAGAGGAAACTTTTTGCAGAAGAGAGCTTTAGAAATAAAAATTTGGGCTCTTTTGAGCTAGTTTGGCAGCCTTCAATCAACTCTAAAACAGCCCCTGTAAGTAAAAAGTACTACAGAATGGCTAACTGAGCAAATACTCGCATTTCAGGGACTCAATGTGGATGAAAAACTCCTACTGGCACATGAGCATGATTTAAAATTGTGCATTATTAACCTACAAGCACTTGAAAGCATTCTAGGAACTCTTGCTGTTCACAGTACTTTCTACTGAAGGCATTTCTTTGGTAGATTTGGAATTATGAAGTTTTTCCACTTCCATGTGTTTTTATCATGCCAATCCTAATTAGCATACTAATTCTCATTAGTATTCTAATTATTTCTAATGCAGCTGCATTAGAACTCCTCAGATGTGTGCTGTCCTCAAACACCACAAATGAGAGATTATAGTAATTTAAAGGAAGATTGTGACTTCTTAATTGAGGTTAAAAATTAATTACAGCTAGAATACGCAGATAAATATGATGAAAAGAAACAGAGTTTCTAAAAAGCAAATGATGAAATTGGTTATTCACCTGCACATTTTCAGCTGGGAAACATCTAACAAGCAAAGATGAGATCAAAGGGATTCACTGGGCTTCATGGACCTGTGTGATAGGAGCTGAAGTGAGTGGAATTTGGCCAAAATACACAAACATCACAGATGTCAACTCTGTGGATGGGAATTACAACAGCTCCGTGCTGGTGACTGGTGATGACTTTGGCCTGGTGAAATTGTTCAGATTTCCGTGCCTAAAGAAAGGTAAGATGGAATTTTGTATGGCTGAAAATGCAAGATTCACCTCAATACTGGATCAGTGTATTTTCTAATGGTGGCTTTTCTTTCTGGTGTAAAATTCCAATTAGTGTGTGCACAATTCCTGTGAGTATCAATGGATACAGAGAGCAGACTTTAACCCTCTCTGTAGTTGTTTTCAGAAGTGTTAAGAATGTGTGGCTGCTTCCTCAGGATTTGCACTGTGCCAAGCATAAAACCAGCAATCCAAATCAAACAATCTTTTGCCTTTCTGTGAGCTTCAGTGTTTAATTTGATATCACATCTCAGTGTATTTTCAAAATTTGTGTTTTAGAAAAAATGTAATGCATGTGTTGAGTTCACAGTGGCACTCGTGGCCAGAAAGGTGAAAATTACACCTTGTGTGTGTCTGGTACTTCCTGCCAAGACTGAAGTGCTTTTCTGACAGCTGAAGATATTGTCTACTTATTTTTATATCATAATTGCTTTTGTATCAGCATATCAAATGAGGCATTTGATGTTTTTTTTGTTTTCAGCTTTCACAAGTGTATGTTTCTATTAGGAACTAACTTCATTAGTATAAGGTTAATTTTTCCCTCACATAGCAGCAGTTCTCCTGTTGTTTCCAGGAGCTAAATTCAGGAAATACGTTGGCCACTCAGCCCACGTCACCAATGTGCGCTGGTCCCACGATTTCCAGTGGGTTTTGAGCACAGGAGGTGCCGATCACTCCGTTTTTCAGTGGAGGTTTGTGCCAGAAGGGATAACCAATGGCATCCTGGAAGCCTCCCCACAAGGTAAACATCATCTCTGTTCAAGTATTTGTTAAATTAAATCAGCACAGAATGCTGCACTGCTGGGAGAGCTCTTATTGATTTAGCAGGAAAAAAAAATCATAATTCTTTGGAATTGCATATACTCAGCATGTTTGGGACATTGAAGCTGTCAAAGACAAGCCTTGGTTTGGGCCACATTAAAAGCTGCTGCAGTCTGCAATATTTGTGTTTGGGAATACATAAACAGCTTTCCTCAAAGTGTGTGAAACAGGACATTTAGAGGGACTGGATAATTAAGTTTCCAACCTTAACCATCTAACCTGAATTCATAAGTCACACTACACATTTAATTGTTAATTTTAGATTTCAATGCAATCTCACGTATCCACAACAAATTTCTCATATTTATGCAGTAGCTGTACCTCAGATATTCTTCTTGTTATAGTCATGATCTTTATAATATCCTACCAAAGCCATATGAACTGTGTCATGGTGGTTGCTAAAATTGGGATTCCCTGCAGCAGAAGGGCAAAATTTCACTCTGTACATGCACAATTTGGTAAATTATCTAAATTACAGCAAATATTTTAAGCACAAAGAATGATCAGTGAACGCTTTTATTTGTCATTTCTGTGTGTCTGCTCTCCAGACCCTGTTTTGAAAGCACAATTCTCTGATGCTGGAACTGTACCAGTAGCTGCTCAGTGATTTTGCTTCTTTCTGCCACCTTCCTGCCCTGGGCAGGGAAACAGGAGAGACAGAAATGAAGGCTGACACATTCAGTCAGGCCCCGTGACTTTTACAAGCTGCTTGAGCTTCCAGATTTCTTGAATACTGCTTTGCCCATAGTCTCAATTATATAAAAATGTCACATACTATTTTCCTGTGATTTCATGTGTTCAATATATAGATTTTTAATTTTTTTTTTTTTAAGCAGAGGGTGGTGTTGATTCCTACAGTGAGGAATCAGATTCAGATTTATCTGACGTGCCAGAGCTGGATTCTGACATTGAGCAGGAAGCTCAAATCAACTATGATCGCCAGGTGAGTGTGAAATAACCCCCAGGGCCAATTACCTGGCAAGTTCCCATCCCTGTTCAGCACAGAGAGGAAGTTTACTGCTGACTCATGGACTGCTCTCAGTTATTTTGATGGAATTCAGCTGATTATGCAACCAATCTACATAAACCCTTGAGCTGGAGATGAGAATTTGAAAGGGTTTGGAGAAAAGAATTTAGAAGTGTTTTGGGGGTTTGAAGATGATCTTTAAGGTCCCTCCCAAGCCAAACCACTCTGATTTGGACTCTATTTACAAGTGACTAGAACCTGGTTCCAGGAGCTGTGGTCATTTTGAGTATTGCCTGTCCCCTTGTCCAGTGAGCTCTCAGCTGCAATGGGGAAGGTCAGAAATCCCTCAGAGCAGGACTTGGATCTTGTACTAAGGGGGAAAATCACAAAATAAGTTGGTTCATGTTGATTTAAGGGATTTAATGGCTGGTGTGGGGCTGCTTTCTGGGATGTGGGAAGCTCACCTCTAATATGCCAGGCTTGAAGCAAGGGCATTCTTTATCTTTTCACCTCACTTTCTAGACTGCAATAAATTGCATAGGTCCTTCTGCCAACAGCCTCTTTCACCTGTTTGTTACAGAGATCAATCATGAATGACAAATGAAACAGATTTTGCCAAATTCTCTCTGTTCCATTCACTCCCAGTTTCACTGGAGTGCTGGTCATTCTCCTCCTCCCCTCCTCCTCCTGATTTTCCATCTGTATTCAAATCAGCCATCATCCTCCTCCACACTGTCTGTGTGTCAAAAAGGACATCTGGGTTTAAAAACTACAAGTGACAATATCATTGCAGGCAGTTCAAGAGCAATATTCCAGGCAGGTTAATGCATGGAAAACCAGGAGCATCTTTAAAATAGCATCTCTCATGGGAAATGGGAGACAGCCCCAAGCAGAAGCTGCATTTGGCATTTTGTTAAAGGAAATAATTGACAAAAGCACAAGGAAATAACAACATTAATCTTACTTTGAGAATTGAGGTTTGGTTTGTTTTTTGTTTTTTTTTTTTTCTTTTTAATATTATGGCTGAAACAGCAGAGAGGATTCTACATTTTGAGATGCATCAGAACATGATGCTCCACTATTTTGTTTCACTGAGTTTGTTTGTTTCTTCTCCTTTCTTCCAAAAATCCAGTGTTGCTTCTTGAAAGTCAGGTAGATTTCTGTGGGAGTGGCAATTTTATTGTCCATTTGTCCAAGAAATGTGGGCACAGAAAACAAACACTAAACCTACGTTTCTGCATTTAGATGGATTTTGTTTAAGGATGCTTCAAACACCTTTAGTATCTCCACAGAATTTCACCATTTCTAAAGTGTTAAAATGGAAAGTATTTTGTGTATTTATAGAGCTGTAATTATACTTTGGGGTTGTTGGCAGATCACTGAAGTGCTTTTGGTTCTTGTGTATTTCACCATAATCCTGAGACAGGAGCAGTTCATGCTCAGCTTTGAGCTTGGACACTGCAGCGCAGATGAAATTAAGGAACACCTGGAGACTCTCAGTCACTATTTACATTGCTTTTCACTAAGTGACACTGGAATCTTCTAGAAAGAATGCACTCTGCTGCTGCTGCTCCAGATTGCTGTTCTGGGCCACTCAGGCCAGGAGAATTCATTGTTCAGGAAACATTTATTATCATCTGAAGGCTGGGGACAATAGTGCCTGCCTCTGCATTGTAACCACTCTACATCACATTAGCATATATTAAATTTCATGCTTAAAGTCACTTTCACTCACATACACAGATATTCAGAAAAGCAGAGACGTGCAGTTAACTTTAGCAATTCTTCTTTAGGTTTACAAAGAAGACCTACCTCAGCTGAAACAGCAAAGTAAAGAGAAAAACCATTCTGTGCCCTTCCTTAAGAGAGAGAGAGCACCTGAGGACAGCTTGAAGCTGCAGTTTATCCATGGGTAGGGTAACAAAAATAATATTTGCTATTTCTGATTGATTAACATTGCTGGGGTGCTCTGACAACTCTTATCAGAGCATAAGCAAAGCATTTTGTGGTGCTTACCCACAATTAACTTGTCATTTTTACTGTGGTAATTATTAGAATATCAGGTATAGCTTTTCTGTTTTCAGTTTTGTTTTAGGATGGATGGAGCTCTGAGCAGCCTGGTGCAGTGGGGGATGTCTCTGCCTATGGCAGGAGGCAGAGTGGGTGATCCATAAGGTCCCTTCCAGCCCAGCCCATTCCAGGATTCTCTTTGTTAAAGAACAGGGGAAGCTTGTGACACTGATAAATAATAAATCACTGTTGAGTTTTATGAAATTACATTTTATACTTGTTGCTCATACACCTGGTGTTTCCTGGAGTCTTTGTAATAGCTGGGATTTGTTCAAATGCCTGATAGATTTCTGCTCCAATCCAATTCCTCATGAAGCTTACCTGGACACAATTCTGTGTAAAAGATACAGCCTTTTTGTGAAATCAGCGCTGATTTAGGAATTGAGTGCAAAGTAACCCTTGAGAAGATCTTCTGAGCTGGAGCTCAGAAGTATCACAGAGGAGCCTCAGGACTCCTTTCCTTTAACACACAAATCTGTAGCACAGATTTCCCAAGCAGCTGTGGGGCAGCCATGAGATATTTGATGTCTGCTGCAGGTACAGGGGCTGTGACTGCAGGAACAACCTGTTCTACAGGCAGGGGAGGTGGTTTATCACATCTCCTGCAGCCAGGTGTTTGGGTTTTGGTGTTTGCTGCAGGTACAGGGGCTATGACTGCAGGAACAACATGTTCTACACGCAGGCAGGGGAGGTGGTTTATCATATCACCTACAGCCAGGTGTTTGGTGTTTGCTGCAGGTACAGGGGCTGTGACTGCAGGAGGGGAGGTGGTTTATCACATCTCCTGCAGCCAGGTGTTTATTTGGTGTTTGCTGCAGGTACAGGGGCTATGACTGCAGGAACAACCTGTTCTACACGCAGGCAGGGGAGGTGGTTTATCACATCGCCGCTGTGGCCGTCGTGTACAACCGGCAGCAGCACTCGCAGCGCCTCTACCTCGGCCACGACGACGACATCCTCAGCCTCAGCATCCACCCCATCAAGGACTATGTGGCTACTGGGCAGGTGGGGAGTTCAAAGTGACAGCAATCATGTTCTATATAGAATTAGAAAAAAAGCCATTTTCTTTTTCCTCACGTGTATTGTTTCCTCCTAAATCTGGGCAAACTGAATGATGTTTCCTATTTCCCTGCTGAAACTCTTGGAGGTGATTATGAAACCATTCCTATATAAGATAAACACTGCCAGTCTTGTGCTGTGGCCTTCAAAAGTCTTATATTTACTTTTAATCTCTCATGTAAAACACAGGAGCTATATTTTATCTCCTTCCTAGAAGGTTTTGGACTTCCATGACTCAGTTGCAGTATTTTTGTATATACTGTAGGAGCTTTCAACAACTTTGCTCAGATAAACGCTGATGGGCACTTTGCTGATATCTGGTACTGAACATGATGTATTCAGTGTATACATTCAGTATATTCATTCGGAAATCAGGATAAATGATACTATGAATGTTCCACTGAATAGTGATAGTTTTAGAGACCATCCACTGATATTTCCCTGAATGAAAAAATAAATCTTGAAAAAGATAAAATAGGGCAAATGACAAACCTCTGTAGGGTTTTAAAGATATGATAATGCTAATTACTGTTATTGGTGTGCTTTGTACTTCTGTGGGCAGAGAGCCCAATTAACCCTCTGATCTAGGTTGGAAGAGATGCTGCTATCCATGTTTGGGACACCCAGACCCTGAAATGTTTATCCTTGCTCAAAGGCCAGCACCAGAGAGGAGTGTGTGCACTGGATTTTTCAGGTGAGCCACAGCCTATGTTTATCTAAATGATGAATTTAAAAGCAGTCCTGGTGATGAAATGTTAATTCAAAGAGGTGTAAAATTGCAGCCAGTACCAATTTTACATGGAAGCTTGCTGACTTGGGATAAAAACAGTGTGTGTGGTGAAGTCAGTTGTGGGCCTTTGGTCGCTTGGTCAATGATTGATTTGGGTGGTGTCTAGCAGATAATACCAAGTGTGCAGTTGGAATTCTGGTCACTCTCTACATGGTCCTGTGAGAATTCTAAAGCAGGCAGGATGGTGACTCAAAGCATATGAATGAGTTGGAAATGTCACCTCTGGGCTCATCCAACTCTTTGCATTTGCTAACAATTGCCATATTTTTCCATGAGTTTACAGAAGAAGTAAATATGACAAACAGTTGTCTGCTGTCTCTCCCACTTGTCTTTCCAAGCTGGCTGCCCTGAGCTGTCTCAGTTCTTAAGGGATAATTCCTGTGTGCAGCACTGAAGAATATCATCCATATGGTGGGGACTTAAATACTTCTGTATCTTCATAAAAGGCCTTGAAAATTCATTCTCCCTTCTCTATGAAAAAAATTAAGAGATTACTTTATCTGAACTATCCTCTACTTGATCTGATTTTTTTTTTTCAATTAAACATGGCTTATTTCATATTCTGCTCTCCAGAAATGAGGTAAGAATTCATTAGGATGTAGATCACATTTGTAAGACAAGACTATACAAAAGAAGTTTGACTTCCACAAAGATAAATCTGTGGAACTCAGTCATATTCCATTATCAGGAGAGGAGCCCTGGTGTTCATCCAAGAGCTGGAATTCAGATGTGAAATTGCTGACCCACTGTGGTATATAAGCTCACTCTGAAAGGAGATAAAGTGCCAGAAGGAAGAAAAATGGAAAAGAATGATTTAACTGGTATTAGATAATGTGCATAGATGTCAAAAAACTTCTTGATAAGATCCTTAATTGAACAAACATTCCTATATTTGAAAATTCTTTGTAGTTTGCATTTTTAACACCAAGTAAATTCCTGTCCAAGTGGGAATATTCTGGATCTTGGAACCCTTGTGCCTGTAAAGAATAAACTGACCAAATATTCTGTGGGCATAAATCTGTAAAAAATACTGAATGTCTTTTAAAAAGTAGCAACCACTCAACATTACAGTGTTGCTTTAGGACCTGATCCTGAGCATAATGCACACACTGCATTCCTGACTGCCTTTAGTTGGGATTCTTGGCATGGACAGGGACAGAGCTGAGCAATTGTGCAGCTCCCTGCAGGATCAGGGGCTGCACTGCCCTGTGTAGGGGATTTGCATTGTCTTAATAACAGAGCTTTCAAAGTTAGGTTCAGATCACACTATTTGGAGCTTAAAGATAGAAACCTGGAGCTCCCAGCCTTTTCTGGCTGTAGTTGGTGAAGCAGCTGACTTTTCCCCCCAGTTCTGTCTCTAAACCATCAGCTGCTGCCCATTTCTGAAAGCTGGGTCCTTCTTGTGCAGCCCTTCTCAGGACGCTGTGAGTCGGAGAAGATCATTTCATTCCTGCAACGTTTGGCTGTGCCCTCTGGTGGCTAATTTAACATTTATACCTTGGGATATTGTTTGGAGGCTATAGTCCATATTAGTGCATAAACCTCCTGTTTCAAGTGCATAAAGTTTCAATTGTTGTGTTGTTTGGGGATTTTTTATATAAACTCAGTTTTGGTTTCCTGTCCTGTATTTTCACTTCATTTCTTCCTACCTTATTCTGCTTCTTCCACTTGGTCCTGTTTCTTTCCTACTGATTCTTAAATTCCCCTTCTCCTTCTTGACTTGCTTTTAGTAGGACTCAGTCATTAAAGTCTGTGAGAACTTACTCAGCCCTGTGAAATCTGCAGCAGTTCTGATAGAGTAATTTATATCAATTACTCTCTTTTTCTCCTTGAAGTCAAATATGCCCAAGCCGAGTCCTTCACACCATTCATTTCTGTGAGAAGCCCATTCCCAGCCCATTTGTTCAGTCCCTACCCAGCTCTGTTCTCTCCAGCTGTGACTTTTGTGCAGTTAAAAAAGCCAGGCAGGTGATCAGCTCCTCCTGCACCCTGTAAATTATCTTATCATAGGCTGCAATAATCATGGCTTAGTTTTATAAACTTTGTAGAATGTCAGCACAGAAGTTTGTCTCTAAAACGTTAGAGATGGTTGTGTTTATCATTATTTTATACATGTGGCAAGAGTGCCTGGGTACTGTTGAATTATGGATGATTTTCTCTTCTGGCTTTCCTTGCTCTCATTATCAGTCCTGCTGTGTCTTTCCTGCAGTGCAAGTGAAGATAGCCAGCAGTTATTTTTAGCCTTAAAATTTTATATTGTATTTATAGTTTCATCACCCTGCCTATGAACATTTCATACACTGGTAAATCTCTGCACCATTTCAAGCAAAGAAAAGAAGCATTATCTATCAGAAATATTTCAAATAAAATGCAACGTGAATTTAGAGTGCTTGAGCTTTATGAATTGACTTTCATTGTCTTGTTTGATCTTCCCTGTTTTCCTTGCACTTACACATAGGAATGCTTTGTGTCTGCCTTAGGGAAAAGATCTGAACTCCAATTTCCCAAACTTAATTTGGGAGGTTTTTTTGCTTCATTTATAATACCAGATTAGAAATTCAGTTTGCAATGTGATTGTTGGTTCATTGCCTGTTACATTTTCAGCTAAAGCCTCAGCACCTTTAACACTCAGTATTGCTTCTGTGCAGCTGATGGGAAATGTTTGGCATCTGTGGGGCTGGATGATAACCATGCCATTGTGTTCTGGGACTGGAAAAAGGGAGAAAAGCTGGCAACAACCAGGTAAGGATACCCACGGGTTAAAATCCCCTCTGATTGCTTTTTTTCTGAATAACCTCATTCACATTTTTCCTATGAACAAAGAAATAAAGCAGAACTCCCCTCTGAAAGCAGGATGGTGTTTCAGAGCAACATACCCAGATTAAAAACCTGGGGATGCACAGCCCAGTGTTTGGAAATTGTGTGAACTATTTCTGTCAGGAGTTCTTATCCTTTCTGTTGGGAGAGCCACGTTGGCACTGTGGTTTGTTTCAGGCTTTTCAAGTGAAGTTTAATATTTTCTTCCAGTTTTGTGTCCTGGCTTAGGGCAGAAGTCACCAGAGGTGTCATTTCCTTTATGTATTCAATGATGTGCTGGGTTCCATCAATCACCAGATCACTTTCTAAAAAGAAAAAAGAGTTCTCTCTATTCTATATAAGTATTTCAGTCACTGCTGATCCAGCCTTCCTTCTGAGCCAGCTTTTTCTGAGCCATTTGCTCTTCCAATGGCCAATGGAAAGCTCAGCTGCTAACCTGACAGTGAAGAGTCCTTGGTGCTTTCCTGAAGGGAGCAGTGCTGGGAAGAGAATTGGATCAAAGTGACATGTTTGCTGTTTTGTACTCAACTATTGCATTGCAATAATAGTTATTCAGTGTAGGAGAATCAAACTTCTGAGAACCTGCTTTCTGTCTCAGCCTTGGACAAAATAAGCATGCCCCTGGTCACCAGGACTGAGCAGAATTCCTGTGAGGATGGATGCATGGACCAGAAAGGCTAGGAGAGAATTCCATGTGCTCTCTGCAACCATGTAATGTAGCACTGCTCAGTAGAAATTGTTAGTATAGCTGCAAAAAAGTGCCTGTGAAAGGTAATTTACTTTGATTACTATATGGTGACGTGTTGCAGAAGAAATGAGATTTTCTGGTGGCAGCAGTCTCTGTTAGTAGTGTACCATTAGTGAAGAAATCAGTGTTTCACTCCATGTGTGTGTACCACAGTCTGTTAGCTATACAATTTCACCTCAGACATCCAGTTTATTAGGCAGTGAGGGTTTAAATCCTGTCTAAAATCTGTGCTGCAGGCTTTGCTTAGCAACAGCCCTGGCTGTGCTGTGAAACGTGACATTTTCCTGGGCTTTGCAATCCCAGTTCTGCTGTCCCCAGACAGATTGTGCTTGACTTGCAAGCAAAGAAATACTTTCTGTATTCCCACGCTGACCTTTAAGCTTTTAAAAACAAGATAATGATAAGCTGTGTCACTGCCTGGTGCTGCTGCTCCCAGGACAGATAAAACATGGAGCACTTGGGTTCTTTTCACCATGTAACGCTGCATGTACCCAGTGCATCTATTATTGCTCATCTGTTATCTTCAAAATATGCAGGGTCCTCACAGAGAGCAGAAAAATGAATGTATCTTCTAAAACCTTGCAGTTTAAACCATTGTTTAAATTTTAGCAGTGCCTAAATGCAACTCCCCTGTCCTGGTGAGCACAGGAGGACAGAGAGACACAAAAGCCCTCATGTGGCCTTTGCACACAAGAATAAAAGAACATCTCCTTACAATCATATGGACCCATATAAACCTGAAAAATGGGTGTCCATTCACCATATACAGACACTCATTGTGGTTATTCTGCAGTTAGATTTGCTTTTTGTGAATGTTCTTTTTGCTTTATCTTTCTAGGCTGATTTATTTCAGCATGACTTCTCAGCTTTTTGGGTTTTTTTTGGTTTTTTTTTTGTTGCAACATTAAGAACACTCTTATTTATTTGCTTTAATTGTTTCAGAGCTAAATTATGCAGCTTGTTCCCCTGTCCTGGCTTTCCTAACTCCTGTCTAATTCCATTCAAATTCTTGTTGAGTAAGTTGGAAGCAAACACCTCAGCACTGCAGGATGATGCGCTGCAGATGTCAGGGGTGGCCAGGACTGGTTTGCATCCAGACATTCCCACTAAAATGGAATACTGACCCTCAGAGGGGTTTCAGAACCACGTGATTTTCTACATCTGCTGAGCCTGTCAGGAAAATGTGACTTAATCCTTGCACAAACCTGCAGATTATAGTGAAAAGCTCGTGCTTCCTGCTTTGGGGGTTTGTAAAACACTGACATGGATTTAATTAATGCTTTACACCTGGGAATAATTTTTCCTTTGATAAGACCCAAGCTTGAAAATTCCCATAAATACATCAACAAGCATAACTTTAGTTACCCAAGAACTAAACCTGGAGGTGAATGTGCTGCTGAGTGAACTGCTACAATTTTATAATTCGTGATTTTGTTTTCCGTCTTGAAGCCCACAGATTAAACACTTCCTCAATTTTCCTGTCAGAGTATCTTTTAATATTTATTGAGTTCTCATGCACTTAAATACTTATCTTGACCTTTATGTCTTCTCTTAATTGCCTTGACCTTTACTGCCTGCTCCTTTGTTATGACTTAAATGAACTGAAATTCAGTGGGAGAGGATTTTTATTCCCCACATTTCTGTAGTCCCCACATGGTGTGTGCTCAAATTCTCCTGCCAGCTCCATGAGGCAAAATCCCAGAACTAAACCCTTGCAGATTAGAAATATGGCTCTCTACTTTTTGCTAGATCGGGAAATGATTTATATCAATGATTTAATTAGTTTGAAATCTTAAGTCATCTTTTGCCAAGCTTTTAAAATGTCTACTTCTATTGCAGGGGCCATAAAGATAAAATATTTGTAGTGAAGTGTAATCCACATCATGTGGACAGACTAGTCACAGTTGGGATGAAGCACATCAAATTCTGGCAGCAAACAGGTACTGTATTGAGTATTTTATATTTTATTAACATGGGAATTTGTGAACATTTTTAATACAGGAACATCATATTCCCAGTTTAAGAATTTGTTTTATTAGTTAAGCACTTTTCCAATTACCAAAATATTAAAGGGGTTAAACCCCACCTCTGAGTCAGCAAATGTCATAATATTCCTTCCTCCTTGGAAAGAATTTCCAGTTAATTGTGTTTAGATTCTAATCATAACATTAAGGCGTTCTCCTAAGCAAGCATCCTTGGCTCCCAGAAAATCAGGTTCTGATTGAGGATATTTTTTATTCAGGACTGGATTTTTTGCTCTTCATGACTTTTAGATGTGTACACCTGACACAAGTACTCAGAACAACTCAAAATTAGGTCATTTCAAGAGCTTCCTACACTTCATACCATAGTTTAAGCATTCAAATGGTTCAGTTGCTCTCAGATAAATAATTTTTTTTCTGCTTTTTTTTAGTCTTTAGGTTATTTTTGCAGTGATCACGTAGATTTGCATTGCTGTTTGCCAAATTCCATGGTGGGAATGTGCATTAAGCAGCATCTTGCTCCAAGAACAGTTTCTTTCCAATAAAAATGGTGATTTTTAATTCAGATTTGCTCAATGGAGTGGGGAGTTAGTGTGGTGTCAGCTGTAAAGCCCACATTGCCTTGACACAAGGCCACCTGTACAAATGATGTTTTGTGATTTATGTGTATTTTTGCCTAAGCGTTGATTCATGGCCTCATGGCTGCTTCTGCTTTCTGACCCAAAGCAAGGCTGTGGTGATTTGGAGGAGCAGACCCTGCCATTTATTCTGCAACCTGCTGCCAAAAGCTCAGGGTGCCAGGGGACAGCTGAACCAATCTGCTTGGGGTCACCTCTGCAGAGAAGCAGCATGGCAGAAGCTGCTGTGGGCAAAATCCATCCTGCCAGACTGTGGTGGTGTTCACAGGGGTCTGAGGGTGAGGGAAGAGACGAGGATCTGACTCCATGTTTCAGAAGGCTTGATTTATTGTTTTATTATATATGTTATATTAAAACTATACTAAAAGAATGGAAGAAAGGATTTAATCAGAAGGCTAGCTAAGAATAGAAAAGGAATGATAACAAAAGCTTGTGTCTTGGACAGAGAGTCTGAGCCAGCTGACTGTGATGGGCCATTAATTAGAAACAACCACATGGACCAATCCCAGATGCACCTGTTGCATTCCACAGCAGCAGATAATCATTGTTTACATTTTGTTCTTGAGGCCTCTCAGCTTCTCAGGAGGAAACATCCTAAAGAAAGGATTTTTCAGAAAATATTATGGCTACAATAGACATTGCAGTAGTTGGTTTTGCACAATACAATTTGGTGACAAATTTATCTCCTGCTGGGGAAGGCAGTCTGAAGACCTGAGGCTGATCTGCTCCAGAGCTGTCACTGCTGCGTTCACTTTCTTTGGTTGTGCTTTTCCCTTCTGCATTTCCATTATCAGGCAGCCCCAGGGGATCTTGGGGTCAAACATTTGTCCTGTACAGCCCAAGCAGAGCAAGGCCTGTGCTGCTCTTGCAGGTGGAGGCTTCACCTCCAAGCGGGGCACGTTTGGGAGCGTGGGGAAGCTGGAGACCATGATGAGCGTCTCGTACGGCCGCGGGGAGGAGCTCGTGTTCTCTGGGGCTGCCACTGGGGACATCTACATCTGGAAGGAGACCCTGCTGCTGAGGACAGTGAAGGCCCATGATGGACCTGTGTTTGCCATGCATGCACTGGACAAGGTATCTGTCACCTTCTTCACCTGGATTTTTGTTGTACTGATGGATTTTAAGGGTGTTTGCGATTAAACAAAGCCAATAGGAATGACATCTGTTATTTGATAGACCTGGATTTGTAAGCACCCTGTTCCATGTGCTGGTACCTGACCAGCAGCTTTCTGACCTCTAAAAATTCAGAATTTATTTCTCACTCTGCTCAGGAGTGTGGTTTTCATGTTTGTGCAAACCACAGGGAGTAATGGGTAACATTCATTTCCTCTTCAAGCTGATCCCAAAAACATTTGTGCATTACCAGTTTCCAAAATATGAAACATGATCTTTTAATAATATTATCATGATCTTTTAATAATATTATCATTGTGTCTTAGTCAAGATGGCAGATAATGTCTTGATTAAGACTCGGAACCCAAAGGTTTTGGGTTTTGAATTAACTATTCCAGATAACAAAAGAATTCTCTTTCAGTTGCATCAATACATCTATAAAAGAAATTATGGCAAAATATTTGCATCACACAAATGAGCTAAGGACAAAGTTTTGCCCCTGGCAATTTGAAGATAATGTTGATAATGGAATGTCCCTTTTGAGGTTATGGTTTCAACTGTAGAAGTAAAGGATGAGAAGAATGTTAGCTATTAACATTTTTATATATCAAGGTCAATTAAGATCCCCGTGGCTCAATCCTTTCTGGCCCTAATTGATTGTTCCCAGCTTTACTATCAATTTTTCTGTTTGATCTTGGCACTGAAAATCCTCTTCACTTAGATTTTTGTTGGTTAGTTATTTATGCTCTTCTGCATTCACTTGGCCCAGATAATCTACCCAGGGAATTAATGAGAGAATTGGTCCCTGATGCATTATTAGAACTTGGGCTGAAGCATCTGTTAAGTCAATTGAATTTGGAATAACTTGAGAAGCTGTTACTGCCAGCCATTGCCTCTTGTAAGGGTAAATCACATTTTTCCATCCCCTGTTCCCACATGCAGGCAAATGTCCTGGTCCAGCATTCCTGTTTACAGCAGTGTGTGCTCCATATGGTTGCAAATCTTTATAACCCTAGAAAAGCAACTCCACCTCTTGTCCACTTGAATTTTTCCCTCATAGGTACAGACTCCAGTATTTTTAGTTTGACACATGAATAAAAAGCAGGGGAGGCTTTATTGTGCCTTTGGCCATGTCCTTTTGAATCTCTCCCTGAGTGCTGACATTTGTGTGTGTTCTGCTCCTGTGGCTGTGCAGGGCTTTGTGACGGGTGGAAAAGATGGAATTGTGGCCCTATGGGATGACATGTTTGAGAGGTGTCTGAAGACATATGCTATCAAAAGAGCAGCACTCTCTGCTAGTTCTAAAGGTATTGGCTTCCAGTGTGTGCTTGGAGGGTGGTAAATGGCAGTAAAGGGTGGGGACTGGGTGTCACATCTCACCAGAAGCCAAAGGGAACAGCAACACACACCTTACTCTGTGCTGGAGTGTTCTGGCTTGATCCACAGAAGATGTATTTCTTGTATTCCTTGTCATTTATAGTTTGTTTTGCTATTCCCTCCTCTGTTTCATGACATTGGGCTTTGTTTTCATTGGTGAAATGATTTTAAGGAGAAATGTCCCCAGCCTTGAGTATGGTAGTTCCAAACTCAGTCCAGTTTCCTTGGCTGGCCACATTCCCTGTGATGTGGAAAGACCTTTAAATTCCCCAGGCCTCAGTGTGGAAGTCTGGAAAGGGATATTCATATGGAATCACAGCATTACTCTGAGGTGCTGGAACTCCCTCAGTCCCTGTCACTGTTCAAGCAGTGAAATATCAGTCACTGTATTGCCACAGGACAGACAAACTCCCCTCCCTGCATTACTAAGGAATCCATGGATTATCTGGCAGTTTGATCAGGCAGTTTTATCTCATGTTCATGATTTTGAAGAGATTTGAATTATATATAAACTGCAAGGAGTATGAAATTTAAAAAAACAATTTTAAATCTGGCATTCTTCAGGTTTGCTTTTAGAGGACAACCCCTCCATCCGAGCCATCAGCCTGGGACATGGGCACATCCTGGTAGGAACTAAAAATGGAGAAATCCTTGAAATTGATAAAAGTGGGCCCATGACTCTGCTTGTTCAGGTACTGTATGGATCTGCCATAGCAAACTATTTCCTGTATTTTTATGAAGTGCTGGTTCTTTGGTGTTCTTTTTTCAGTAAATTTTGATCACATGAAGTAATCCTTCAAATTTGTCTTGCCTGCATGACTGCATATCCAAGATGTGTGAGGTTGTGTTTTATAAAACATTGAACTCATCCACTAATGCAGATTGAGAGCAGTAAGAAATTATTTAACCTTGATATGCAGTGCCAGCAAACTGTATGCAAGCTGAAGGAAAGCTGGAAAAAAGCAGGAAGAGTGATTAACAGCTTGGAAAACTGAGAATATGAGGCAAGATTAAAACAAAATATTATGTGCATTTTGGGCAAACAAGGATCTAAAAAAGGACATAAAGTTTGAGGATTAGCCAATCTTAGGATTTCAGGATAAAGTCCTGTTTGGGGTGTAACTGTTCCCTATTAATCTCGAGTTTGGAAAGGAGAATACTGGAAGAGCAGGAATTACAGCCAGTAATAGTGGAAGGGAGTATGGAAGAGTGTTTTAGACATCTGTTGGGGGGACAGAGCAAATGCTCAGGTCTTTTGGAATGCAGAAAGCTTTGGAGAGAGGAGATGGTGAAGGCTTTATGTGGAAACCCAGGGTGTAGGGAATAGTTCTTTGTGTGCTCTGGGGTGCCCTGACCCCCAGGGGAGCACTGACTTTGACCCTCATTCATGGAGGAAGTTTCCTAAACTCCAGAACAGATTAGAATCCATAAAAGTGTGAAATAGATTATAGAGAGTAGTGTAGGTGTATCATTTGTTGAGAAATTTAGGTTTGGGGATTTTTAGTATGTTGTGGGTGGAAGCAAGATGGAGGGCACAGGATGGCATCCTGGGTTTCTTCTTCCTCCTTCTTCATGGGTTTGGGTGATGCTTTCTAATTGAGCAGAAAAGTCCCCTTTGCAGCCCTTTGGGATCAGTAATTGGGTTAAAAGGGAAACAGTCCAGATGTCAGTTCTTAATTGGATAGTTCAGTCTTAAAAGACCATGGAACAGAGATTGTTGGCCATTTTGTGCCTTCTAATGAAAAGCTGCCCAACTCACAGCACTGAGACTGTTTTACTGATAAGAAGTTATAAACACCTGAGTCTGAACATGAGCTACCATCTCAAATGCCTTCAGTGCAGACCCAGAGAAACCAACAACTGGTACCCCCACAGCTTCACTGCCTGGGACTTGCAAAATGAGGCAGGGCAAGGTCAGACCCTATTGCACAGCCCCACAGGCATTATTATTATTTCCTCTTGTGTGGAATGCTTTCCTGCAGGGCCACATGGAGGGGGAAGTGTGGGGCCTGGCAGCTCATCCTCTCCTGCCCGTGTGCGCCACGGTGAGCGACGACAAAACGCTGCGGATCTGGGAGCTCTCAGCACAGCACCGCATGCTGGCAGTGAGGAAACTCAAAAAAGGTAACTCTGCCTTGGCCTGGGCATCCAGGGATCCCCTGCTCCTGGAGCAGCTCCCTCTCTGCCTCTGGGGCATTTAATTAATTGCCTAGGCAAAGGACACGGTCGTTAAGAAATTGGGAGCGCAGGAAATAAATTGGCTTTGGCGTGTGTCAAGTCAGTGCAAAGGGAGGGAAGAAAAAGGACTGTAATCTATTGTAATGAATAATAATAAAATGAACTTCAGTCTCTTTTCCTCCAGTTTCAAGGGGAATGAGTTGACCTCAGAATCACTTTCCTGCCTAGGAATACTTGAGGCCAGTATGTTGCTGACATAAAAGAATTTCCTTATGAAGATAAAAATACAATTTCCTGCATGTTGAGTGTGACCATGTTCACAGGGGTCCGAGGATGAGGGAAGAGATGAGGATCTGACTCCATGTTTCAGAAGGCTGATTTATTATTTTATGATATATATATTATATTAAAACTATACTAAAAGAAGGGAAGAAAGGATTTAATCAGAAGGTCAGCTAAGAACAGAAAAAGAATGACAACAAAAGGCTTGTGTCTCAGAGAGAGAGTCTGAGCCAGCTGACTGTGATTGGCCATTAATTAGAAACAACCACATGAGACCAATCCCAGATGCACCTGTTGCATTCCACAGCAGCAGATATCAATGTTTGCATTTTGTTCCTGAGGCCTCTCAGCTTCTCAGGAGGAAAAATCTTAAGGAAAGGATTTTTCAGAAAATATCATGGCTACAGTTGAGCACAGTCATATTTTGCTGTCAATATGATCTTTACCTGTTAAACCAGCTTCTCAAAAATTAACTCTTTTTCTGCCCTCTCCTCTCTATAAAATTAGATAAGCTATGTTGAAATGTTGCCTTCTCAAAATCACTCTTATTTTATTAATTCATTGATATCTCTCAGGAAATTTTAAATTGTTCATTTTCAGTGACAAATCTGGAGCACAGGAACCCTTAACTAGCTGGGGGAAAACAGAGTTAGATTTTTTTTTTTAGGGGTGGACTTGGGAATGGATGAGGGTAGCTGTAGGAGAGTATGTCAGGAATAATGCTGAGGCAGAGATACACTGCCTTTAATGAATCTTTGAATTTTGCATCCGGATTTCCTTTCTCTATGTGTTTTGGGTGGGGTTTTTTGTTTTATTTCTGTCGTTGGTGTGTTTAGAATGTGGCTGGAAGGTGGTATTTACAATAAACCTGTTTCTAAAGAGATTAAATCATTGTCAACCCTGTAACGAAGCATCCATCACACCCCTCTGTAACATATCTTCCTCAAGAGATAACAAATCCGTTTTAAAATCACATAGTTGATGTAGAAACCTTCCAGTTGCAGTTCATTGATGGTTTTCTCAGCCCCAGCTTTTCTGACAGGCTCATTTCCGTGTGCCTCCTCAGGCGGGCGCTGCTGTGCCTTCTCTCCCGACGGGAAGGCGCTGGCGGTCGGGCTGAACGACGGCAGCTTCCTGGTGGTGAACGCCGACACTGTGGAGGACATGGTCTCCTTCCACCACAGGAAGGAGATGATCTCGGATATAAAGTTTTCACGAGGTACAACCACGTGATAAAGTGGAAGAGGAGTCTTTATCCTGCAGTTTGTTTCTCTTGTCTAGGCAAGGTTGAATGTCCCAAAGGAAGGCTGGCTTTGTGTGTGCTCCATGTATTAAATACTCCACAATTCCATGTGGCTGCCCTAGAACAGGCCCACCCTGCCTGGTGAATTCACTGCAGTGGTGAAAACCACACCAGTATCAGTTCATTTACCCTTTAATAACCTCGGTGTCTCCTCCTTGCAGAATCAGGGAAGTACCTGGCTGTGGCTTCCCACGATAACTTTGTGGATATTTACAACGTCCTGACCAGCAAGAGGGTTGGCATTTGCAAAGGTGCCTCCAGCTACATCACCCACATCGACTGGGACTCCAGAGGTAAAGTGTTGGCCAGGGATACAGACTGGAAATACCCATAAAGTGGAATAGCAGGAAACTGTTCCCCTCCAGTTATTGAGATCAACCACTGATGCAAATGCTGTTTCCCCACGGAGCACTGCATGGATCCAGTGCAATTACATTTGTTGGTGTCCAATTTCCTTTCCTTGCTGAGCTCTGCATGGCAATCCCTGCAAGAAGCTAGAGCCTGATGGTCCCAGCTAATTAAGTCCAGCAGGATCCATAATGAGCTCATGCCAGTGAGCCTTCCCAGAGCAGCTGGGATCTGTGTGAGGCCCCCTGTGTGCCTGAGCTCTGTCCCTGCTCTTGGCCAGCCCCAAAACGTGCTGTGAGCCAGGGGCAGCAACCACAGCATCTCTGTGGGCACAGCAAACTTCCCATCCCAGGACAGCTCAGAGTGGAGCTGGCTCTGCCTCTGGGGAGTGCAGGAGGGATGGGAGTTGGCAAAGGTTCCACTTTTGGCAAAGCTGCCTTGTAAAATTATTAGGAAAATTAATAACACATCCATTTATTTTGGACCTCCATTAGTGTGATGGGGAAATAAAGCAAAATATTCCCTATCAGCAGAAACTGATTTGCTGTGCAACAGCAACTTCTTAAGGATATTGGATGGTATTTAAAATATTACTTCTGCATTAATCAGAGTATAGGACCCTTACAAGAGTGATTCAAGCCTCTGTGTTACTTTGGCTATGAATAACTCTCTAGAGGATAATTTCTTAATTTACCCCCAGAAATCTCTTCACTCAATCAAAAGAAAGTTTGTAGTTGTCGCAATAATTATTAAGATTCATAACAAACTCTCCTTTTGTATCCAGGGAAGTTATTGCAAGTCAATTCTGGTGCCAAAGAACAACTATTTTTTGAAGCACCAAGGGGGAAAAGACATATTATAAGAATTGCTGAGGTATGAATTGTGGGCTGGATTATTTTTACTTTGAAAATTAATTTAAAGAATTGTCTTCAAGTGGTGTATTTTTTTTCATTTTATAATGCTTTATTTACAATGGTTAGAATTAGAATTACTTAGTAATTCCACAGTGTCTTTCCTAGCACTTGTAAATGGCAGAATGTGCAGGTTTCTGCTTGTATCTCTAAATTTATTTTTATTTATTTATTAGAAGCCATTTGCCAAAATCCTCTTCTCAAAGCCACCTGGTTTTGCACATGGGCTATAAACCACTTTCAAACAGCAGGACCTGGCTTTCCATCAAGCTGATTATTTGTGACAGAATTTTACATGACTAGAAAATTGCCAGTGTTTAGCACATCTGAAAATCTTCAGGGAGATTTGTATCCAAATCATGCTCTGCCTTGGAAAAATGGGAATGTTTAAAGTGTTAAGCCTTTTGATGAAGATGCACAATTTGAATTAACAGCACAGTTTCTTAAGAACTGAAAGCATTAAAATGAAAATGCCAAACATAGAAAATTTTACACATGAAAATAGCATGTATTTGGTATGTTTAAAGTAAGCAGCCTTCTTTGGGGGAATTTTACTGCAGATAGAGAAGATTGAATGGGACACCTGGACATGTGTGCTGGGTCCCACCTGTGAGGGGATCTGGCCCATGCACAGCGATGTCACCGTTGTCAACGCCGCCAGTCTCACCAAGGACAGGACCCTGCTGGCCACGGGAGACGATTTTGGGTTTGTGAAGCTCTTTTCCTACCCAGTGAAGGTAAGAAGTGTGTGGGTTTCAGTGCTGGGAGAGGAAAGGAAGGAAGGAAGGATTGCTGGGTGCCAGTGGGGGTGTTGTGTGCTGCAGGGCCAGCATGCCAGGTTCAAGAAGTACGTGGGGCACAGTGCCCAGGTGACCAACGTGCAGTGGCTGCACAACGACTCCGTGCTCCTCACCGTGGGCGGCGCCGACACCGCCCTCATGATCTGGACCAGGGAGTTCCTGGGCATCCAGGAGAGCAAGCTGGTGGACAGTGAAGAATCAGACACAGATGCAGAAGAGGATGGAGGTAAAGAGGATTTCATTCTTCCTTGCCTTAATCAGAGATCCACACATGCATTTAACTTGCTAAATTTCAGTGTAAGGAGAGCTTGGTAGGATTTGTTTCCTTCCTTTCATTGTTGTTCTCTCCTGTCCCACTATGAAACAAGGGTAGTTTGTTTTATTCCATGTTTTGTTTTTCTAAGGTTATGACAGTGATGTTGCAAGAGAAAAAGCAATTGACTACACCACTAAGATCTATGCAGTGAGCATCCGAGAAATGGAAGGCACAAAACCCCATCAGCAGCTGAAGGAGGTTTCAGTGGAAGAGAGGTATGTCCCACAAAGGCTTTTGCTTCCATGTGTGCCCTTTTGCACATCTCTTTTCATTCAACTAGTTAGTCCTTAGAAATAAGACAGGAATTTTAAAATTCACCAGATGACATTTTTATGTGAAGGAGGAAAATGGACATGTTTATGTGAAGGAGGAAAATATGTGTATATGACACATCCCTGAGTGTTGTGTTCTCTTTTGGCATTCACATGAGCATTGATATTCTCTCCTAACCAGTGTGTGTCTGCAGCAGAGCACTTGTGGTAGTGGTGAGCTTGTAAATATTTTGTGGTTAAGGCTTTGGGTGTTGCTTTTATTAAAAGATTTTCAGTCACTTGTAATTGTGTTGGGTTGTCACTGTTAAATCTGGAATTTCCCATGGCACACACTGGCCTTAGGCTGAAATATTCTAAAAATTTAGCTGGAAGGGGAGCAGTGTTGGAGAGATCAAAGAAAAGAGGTAAGAGCTAAGAACAGAGGGTGAGTCCAGTGAAACACAGACCTAAAGGAGGGGCTGCTAAAATCTGATGGGACAGAACAGGAGCATCTATAACCAGTAAATAATTCCCCCTCAAAATCTGGAGCAGTAAATCCCTACCTGTGAATCCAGCTGGTGACTCAGCTATGAATCCATTTTGTCTCTTTTGATAGAGAATTTTCTTAGAAATGATCATTTTTTATCAGGAGTTTCCCTGCCCTTGCCCCCCACTGGGCACTGACACCAAGGACTGCTGTGGGTTAACCCACAGAAAGATTTTCAGCTCAGCTCTGTTATTGCAAGAGACAAAATGGAGTTAATAATACTTCCTAATCTCATGTAAGCCTTGGAAAAAATGAGTTTCTCATTTTTAAAGCTCTCAAAGAATGCAGTGCTGAACATATTGAACAGAAAGTAATTAATCATTTTTGCTCAGTGAATGTGCAAACCAGGAGAATTGGGTGTGAAATGTGGGGTATGAACAATAAGAAGAAAAATGTTGCACCCATTTTGTTTCATCACAATGTTTTAACAATACCATGCAGGAAGAGGATCAGTGATTTTTGCAATGAACCATTTTGTTGGACCATAACCTTCTCTTTTTCCATTTCTTTTAAGAATGTCTCCTTTCCTCAAATAAAGAATTTGTTCCTCCATCTTTCTACAAAAAGGCATGGTGTATCATCTGGTAAACATAAATGTTTGCAAATTGAGTTAAAAAGAGGAAAATTGTTATTTTATTTTGGGTGAATTGCTAAATTGTTACAGGAATACTAAGTGGCATTGGTACAGATGTTCTGCACCAGAAACATTTGTACTGCCCAGCTGTTTTATTCTGCTGTGATGATGCTGTGTTATCAACAGTTTTGTACTTTGTTTTAATCTAGGTTAAAAATAAACCCTTATCACTCTCCTTCCCATCTTTTCTGCTCAAGAGTCACAGCTCTTGTACACATTTTAATCTCTTTTTAAAATTACAGATGCTTCAGTACAAACACACCTTTGGTATTTGGAATTTGCTGCTTTGATCAATCTGACAACAAATCTCATAATTCAAAGATCAATTCACTTCCCTGTCTTCAAGGGATTAATACAAATAGTGAGAATTTATAGTGAAATAATCCGAAGTGGCAACTTTATGGCTGAATGCCATCCAAACTGCTTTCTGAGGGTGTTGTGATTGGGTAGGGCCTTAAGCTGTGAAGGGTGCTGGGGTGTGGGTGCAGTGAGACAGGATTAGGGAAACCTAAGGCCAAGTCAGGCCTTGGGGCTGTGGAGCCTTGAAATGTCTGTGCACAGGGCTGAGTGAAGGGCAGCAAGGAATATTGGAGGCAGCTCCCAAAGCTTTAGATTTTCTACCAAAGGCACAGCTGGAGGAGCTCTCCCAGCCCCTCCAGGTTTGAAGAAGGGAAGCCAGAGGTTGTGTTCCATTCTCTTTTAGGCAGGTGTGTGAGGAAACCTGCTAGGCTTTTGAGGAGGAAGTTTTTCTGGGGGAAATATTCCAGATCTTTCCCTCTGTGATTGTGCCATGTGTCTGTCTAAAGACCCCAGTGATTGTGCCCTGAATATTCTGGCATTGGTAACTTACTGGCACTCACTGTCCACGTGTTCAAAACTGTGGGACAAGCTGGGGGGCTGCTTAGAACAGAAACTGTGAGTAAATCCCAAGGCCTGGAATACTGCTGGCCCACTTCACTGCAACATCTAGTCAGGGTCCTGGAGTGTCCCCCTTGCTCTATTTTCATTGTGGCTTTGAGAAAGGAAAAATATTGAAGGTGTAGTGAGAAGAAACTCATAATTAAGCAATTTAAATTAAGGAAAGGGGGATAAAAAAGAGAAAAGGCAAGTTTCTGGTTTAAGCAAGAAGTAGGAATAGCTGGGGCTGCTTCTGTGAGCTGCTCCTTGGGGGCAATGACTTGGAGCTCACTGGGGTTTTTCTTTTAACACTCATATTCAGAGGGTGAACTGTTGCTGAAGTTTCTTTCCAGCTTATGAAATCAAACACTTTCCAAAGGTGCTGTGTGGCACCAACGAGACTCATCCGTCTGTTTAATCCTTCTGTTTGCTGGAGTAAGCTTGCAGGGGACTCTGTGCTTCTCTAATAGAAAATGGTGAATCTGAAAAGCTCCAGGTACATCATTTCTCTAGAAATAACAATTCATTGTTCAGTTCAGGAGGAGTTTGATCTCAGGAGCAGTGATGGGATCCCTGAGAAGATTGCAAGTGTAGGGTTGGGAGCTGAACTGTACAGTGATTAGTACAAACTTAGGAGCAATAATAACATTTTCCCTTAGAAAAGAAAATAAGAGCCCTTTATGAAATTTATTTTTCCTGTCTAACTCAAATGTAATTAAAATAATCTTGATTCTGCAGATATCTTGGAGAAGTGTAGAAGTTACATGATAGATTTTATTTGCAGGATTTGAATCAAGTCATGACCTGGTATTTTTGGGGGGATCTAACATTTCCTGTCTCCATCAGCAGCCACAGCTTTAGGATGGCAAAGTTGCTGGGGCACAGTTTTAAAATATCTTGCAGTTATATTGGTGCATTTGGTTAAGATCATTCATTGATTGTTGTTTCTCTCTCCTCTCCCCGACCCTGTTGTTTTCTGCTTCCCCCTTTCCATGTGTTCCCTCCTGCCCTCCCCACCTCCCCTTGTGTCCCTGTGTGTCCCTGTGTGTCCCTGTGGCTGGCACCCCTTGCCATGCCCAGGGTCAGGAGTGGGGTGCCCTGCAGAGGGGCTGCAGGAGCCGCTGCTCCTCGGGACCCCCTGGCCACTGCTGGGACTGTCCCAGACAATCCAGGACAATTGTAAGCTCTGCTCTGTGCTACAGAAGAATTGTGCTGTTTCACAAAGGGGCTGGGAGCATTTAAACCAAGAGTTGATACCATGAGAAGTAACAGGAGCTTGCTGATGACTGTGTTTATGTTACTAATCCCAAAGGCAAAGGCCTGTTTGCATTTGGCCTCCTACTAACCCCTAACACACCCCCGGCATCTGCAGCTCTCCTTTGGCTCGGTGTGCATGACTCCACATGTACCTGGGGATGGCAGCTCCTCCAGAGCAGGTGGAGTGTGTAGAAAACAAGAAGCAGCATTAGCATGTGTGTCTGGTTTTCCATTGTCTTGGCATCCTGGCTTGTCTCACTCCCCATGGATTACCCCCCTCAGACACTGGTCTCTGTCGTGGTGTTTGCCTTGTGTAATCACATGTCCTGATAAGGGTGAAATCTTGAAGAAGTTGAATTTTCTCTCTTCAAATGTTACTCTTTAAATTATTGATTTCTTTAAAACAACATGAGTTAACTTATATAAGCTTCCCAAATAGCCCCCACAAGCCTTGCACCACAAAGTGAATTATTCAATACATGGTTACAGCCTTGGTTCCTGCACCTTTACACACACACACACACACAACACGTCTGTGGGTGCAGTGCAACAGCTCTGAGTGTGAATCTGTGTTGTATTTGTGTGTAGGTGGGGAATATTAAATATGTGTCTGAAAAAACCCATCCTTGGGGTGGAGAAAAGAACTTTGGGCTTATTCCAGCAGAAAGCCCCTCTCTGAGAACGAGGAGCATCATTTGGAACATTCATTTTTACTTTCTCAACAGCATTATGTCAACTTAATGCACCCTGAATGCATTTGACAGCCTGCTGGTTTCATCCCAGTTGTCCCCCAAGGCTTGTGCACATTGTGCCTGGTATTTGTCAGTCCCTGCCAGCAGCTGAACTCAGAGTCAATCTCACTGCTCCCACAGGTCAGCACAGGCTCTAAGGTCTGCTCTGGCTGTGTGACACCTGGGGGAGTGGAACTGAGGGAAGCCACACATTCCCAGCACCTCTCTCTCTGAGCCTGAGTGTTCCCTGCACTGGGGGTGATGTGAAATACTCAGCTTTTCTCAGGGCTGTGTGCAGGAGGCACTCCAGGGCTGATGGAAGAGCCATTCCTCATGTTCTGTCATGCACAGGGAGGGTCTGCTGGGTGTGATTGGTTCAGTGTTGGTATTTACACAACACAGCTTCAGAACATGCAGGGAATAACAGAACAAATGGAGAAGACTCTGTGCCTTCAGTGTGTGAGGGGCAGCAGGGCCAGCCTGTGGCACAGGAGCTGTTCCCAAGGTCTCAGAACAAGCCCCTCAGGTTTAATCCCAGTGATTTCCCTCCTCCCTGCTTGCTGTAGTGCTCATGTCACTGGGCACTGAGCTGGAATGACCTGGGACTGCAGTGACCAGCTGCCCTGACAGCCTGTGACAGCAGCTGGCCCCACCAGATGTCCTGCAGTACTTTGTGATTTTTTGAGTTTTTGAATTATTTTTTTTTTTGAAGAGTGCATCAGCATACAGATGAAGTTATAAATATTGTTACCATGTAAGGCTTTTTCAGTCCTTTAAAAATGCAATTTACCACTGATGTTTCTCTCTAGTTCTGTTTGAGCTTTGCTTTGATCTGCTATATTTGAAAATAGGGTATTTTCATGTTGAATCCTGTTCTTTTTGTTGTCTTATGATAGCTACAAAGTGTTAAAAAAAAGTAACAGCAGGAAAAGTTGTATGTAAAACTCCTATGTATGTTGGGATGGGAAAATCCAAGGGTTTAGAATTTATAAAATCTTTTAATCCCTTCTCTGGGAAGGGATTAAAAAAAGCTTGAGGAGTTTTGCAGTGGTTTGGGGGCACTTGGGAGTCCCCTCCTGTCACTGGTGAAGGGCACAGCTAAAAGCTGCTTTTGCATTTTTTCTGAAATGAACCGTACATTTTTCAAACCTCGGATTTTTGTTCTGTTGCCCAATCCAACCCTACCACCCTTTCCTTTCCTTGAAGCTTGCTTTCTCTTCTCGGGAGCAGTCCTGCTCATGTGTGTGTAGATCCAAGTGTATTGCAGCCATGTAAATCCATGTCTGTCTCCCTTTTGGGCCTGAAGCTTTTCCCCACCCACTGCTGCTGGCTCAGCCTGTCACCTTCTTGGTGCAGGACACTCCTGTCCGTCTGTCCCTGCCCCAGACCTTGTTGTCCCTTTCCATGATGCTGTTTCTGGAGTTCCCATGCTGTTCCTGTTGGCCTTGGAGCAGAATTTGTGTTCTCCCCAGTTTATTCTCACTGCAGTCAGCATCTCCAGCCACACAGCAATTCTGGCCTGTGACCTGGAAACAGGAACTGGTTACATCCCCCTCCCACAGAATTTGTCATAACAGTTTTTGATCTTCCTTTTCTTTTGACCTTTTTTCCCATCTAAACAGATCTACAGATCTTTTTTCCCTTCAGTTTGGCCCTGCTCTCTAAGATCACATCTCTTTCCTTCCTCAAGGTGCTACACTCTTCCAAAACCCCATTCCTTCTGCCCCCAGCCCAGCTCTTGTTGTGTCTATCTGCTGTTCTCCATCCTGGTGCTCCCTGTTCACCCCTCCCCTGGTTTGGGCTTCGGAATGTTCACTCACAATTTTCACATTTCTGCATGAAGGTGGTGCTGAGGTTTTGTCAGTTTGGATCTGGATTCTGTCCCTGAATGACAGCTGTGTGTCCTCATGTGAGATCATCCTCGAGATTGCCAGGAGTGACAGAAACCTTCTCTGCTGTATTCACAGTGCCCAAAGAACTGAAACCCTCACACCTGGCTGTGTCCTCTCTTTCCTGGAGCTCCTCTGTGCCATTACATGATCTAAGCACGTTTGTTTTCAAATGCTGCAAAGAAACCATTAATGCTTTTGTTATGTTTTAACTTGCTTTCCTTTGGAGGCAGGGAATTGTCAAGTAAGTACTGGGGAGCCCAGCTGAGGCCTGGCCTGCTGGAATGTGCCATGCAGGGTGCACAGGTCCAGCAGGGCAAAGGGTGGCATTTGCTACAGTGCAGATTTCTTGTCTTGGCAGTGTCATCTTCTGTGTCAAAACAAACTAGATGTAGTCACAGGCTTGTTAAAGTGAAATTATTTCTTATAATGTTTCCAATGTGCTGCTTTCCATGTCTTTTATGAAGATGGTGATGAGGCAGTGAATGCACACGTGTGTGTATATATACATGGCTGTGTATATATGAATGCACACAACATCTGTGTCTGTGTGTGCTGTGAGTAGGAGCTGTAAAAGTATCTCTGTGTGTGTCTCCAAGTTAAGCCTCATGCTTACAATCTGGTGACTATCAAGCATGTCACAGTGGTAGTGTTCTCTTGCTTTCATGAAGTATTTTGGCTTGCTCTTGTCATAAACTTTGATATTCCTAGGTAAAGAAATGTAGAAATGATCCAGTTTGAAATAACACTAAAACAGAAAAAAGCTTGCAAGAAAACAATTCTTTTCCTAAGTGCCAGTTCAGAGGCCCTCATAAATCTGGGCTAAAATGAAATGATGAATTTATTTTGTAAGACAAGTTTTATAATAACGTCCTTTGGCCCTTCCCTGCTGGTCACAGCACCGCTGCTCAGTCCTGCTCACCCAGGGTCACCCCAGGGGACTTGAGTGCCACTCTCTGAGGAAATAAAGGTACTGTTCCCTGAGGACAGGGCAGGACAGGCTGTCCTGGCAGTGGCTTGGCCTCCTCACAGCCATTGTGGGCTAAATTGCAGCTGAGCTGGGGTAGAGAACAATCATGCATTGTGTGCACTCTCAGCACTGCCTAGGAAACTGTCACTTCCTAGCAGTTCCCTCCCTGCCAGGCTCCTGACAATAAACCAACCATGGAAGCCCCTTGTGCTCTGGTGCAAAGTGTGCAGGAAGCTTGGATGTAGCTTCCCTTTCCCCCCCATCCTGCAGGACCTTTAGCTCTGAGGCTGCCCAGGGATGCCAGGTGTGGTGTGTGTGGCTCTGTGCACTCTCTGGTTTCTGTTTTAGTTTTGCTGGCATGCTTGGATAGCAGTGCTGTGCCCCAGGAATGACTGCTGGCTCTGCAAGTGCTTGTGCATGAGTCTCGTGCTCACAAGTGACTCCTAAACTCTATTAAGTTTCTTGCTTGGCTTTATTTGCTGCTTCCAAGGGGATCAAGGTAACTCTTCCACTCTCTTGGTGTCATGGGTCACCTGCTCATGTGCTTGTTGGTCCTTGCTGTGCTCGAGGCGTGGCTTGGACTGGTTCCCTCCAGCCTTGCTCTGTCTGAGCTCAGCTTGTCCTGCTGCTCATTCCCACAGGACTCAGTCCCCACTGGGCTCTGTCCACTGTGCCTTTAGTACCTTCCATGAAAAATCCAGCTCCAGAAAAAGCAGCTCCCTATACACAAAAGGGATTTCATTCTTCTCCAATTAATGTTTTGCAAAATTGAATTACTGGTAGTTATGGCCTCAGGACAGGAGCAAATTTCACAGCATGTGGAATGTAAGAGCAAGGTCAGATTTTTCTGGAATCATAAGCTCTGGGAATGCTTTCCACGTGCTCCCCTTAGCTCTGTCCCTCTTTTCCCAGCAGGATCAACAGCAGCAGCAGAGGTTATCTGGCCTCACAGACCATTTGCACACATCAGATTTTGTCTCAGCCTGTGTTCTGAATTTTTCTCTATCTACTTTTAGCAACTGTAATTATATAAAATAGCTTTGATGGCCTCAATCTCCCAAATTCCCTTGAATGAATGACTTGTGCATTTAAATGCAACCATTTTATCTTTAATATGATTTTGAGAAGATTTTATTGAAGGCATGTCAAGGTTTTGGGATGGGGTTTCTCAGAAGAAGCAAGGCTGGGCAGAGGTCAACTGCCAGCTGCAGAAATTGCTTCAGATCATTTCTGAAAGCACCAATTTACCATCCTTTCATATTCAAGGGTTTTTGCATGGATTTAAATCATTATGGTTTGGGGTCTTTTGAATGGTGTAAGGTTGTTTGTTCTGCCACTCATCTGTGAAGTCTACATCAGTGTTTCTGCACTTTCTATCAAAAAGTGCAGGATTTTAATCAGTTTGTTGTACAACTCTGAAAAAGCTCATACAGGGGTAACTGTCCATTTGCTGCTCACACATGCTGTGGTTTTGAAGGCTGTGTTTAACTTTCAAATATATCAATTGTCTCCATTTTAAATGTTCTTTTCAGGCCACCCGTGAGCAGAGCTGCTCCTCAGCCTGAGAAGCTGCAAAAGAACAATGTCAGCAAAAAAAAGAAACTGGTTGAGGTCAGAATTCATATATTTTCTATTTCTTTGAAAGTAACATGTGCTGGGTGAAATCCATCCCTGTCTGTCTCTCAGTGAAGGGCAGGTAAATCACAGAGTCTGTGCATTCCCATGCTCCCTGCTCAGCCCCAAGGGAAATACATCCAGAACTTTGGCCCAGGAAAAACCCTCTGTGGGATTTTGAATTATGGAATTTTCTCATTGACTTTGGAACTTCCCTTTCTCCCCAAACAACTTGTTTGGCTTCCCACATAAGAGGCAGAACCAGGAATATTTTGTGGACCATTTGCAGCACTTGGTCTGTGGCTAATTGGGATTGTTCCCAGTGAGCTGTGATTGTGTTTGGGGCAGTCATTAAGTTGGGCTTCAGGGCTCCAAGGCAGCTCTACCAACAATCCATTAACCACGCTGGGTTCCTGGAGGAAATTTCCTTGGCAACTGCTCATTGTAAGCTGCAATTACACCTCTGAATAATGTCTTAATTACAGAGTTACTAATAGCCTGCCCTGGCTTCCGCTAAGGACTTTAAGGTCAGAATTTGGTCTGTGGAAATTTGGTAGTTTATGAGAATGATTTTTGAAAGCTCTGCACATAGCTTCTTTAAAATATCTAATGCCCTGTATAAATATTAAACTGTGATGGGAAGAGCAATAAAATCCAACCTGTTCTGTGAGTTGTATCTGTTTGGAATGGGAATTTACAGGGCATTTATAGCCCTCTGAATAATTAAAAAAGAAAATAATATAAGTGCAGTACTTTAGTTGACCAATTAAAGGTTATTGATAGCCTCTGATAATGTTATGCCTCAATAAATGAGCAGAGTGGGGACAACTAATTATTATTTTGTTATTCTATGGCCTCTGCAAGATATTTGTACTTGTGTAATTTAGAATTGTCCTTAAGTGGTCCAGGCTCTGAAATCTTGTTTTTTCTTCCATTTCACTCTTGTTCTCTATGTTTTCCTGGAGCAGGAGCTGGCCTTAGACCACGTGTTTGGGTACAGAGGGTTTGACTGTCGCAACAACCTCCATTACCTGAACGATGGTGCTGACATCATTTTCCACACAGCTGCAGCAGGCATTGTCCAAAACCTCTCCACTGGTAACTCCACTTGTAAAAACACCTGGAGATAAAATAGCTTGATAAGGAAATTATTTTTGATTGAAAGTCTGAACTTTTTAATCTTCCTATGGCTTTCCCACATTTGGGAAACTTTGGGGAGGCCTTTGGGGACTTGAGTCCTAGGACAGCCTCTGGCCTGTGGGCTGGGAAAAAAGGATGGCCCCATCTGGGCCCCTTCCCTTGGGAGGGCTTTGCTGATTCCATGGGTATAATTTCCCAAATATTGCTTTTGTATCCCCCTGTGTGTGTTGATGGTTGTGTCCATAGTGCATTTGGGAATGGGAGCAGAGCAGCCTTAGTGACCCCCCCATCCCCTGCAGAGTTTTCACAGCTGCCCAAATAGTCTGTGCTTCTGTGATGGCTCTTCCTTGGTGCTGTGGTGACTGAAATCCTCTTTGGATGCCTTAGGTAGCCAGAGCTTCTACCTGGAGCACACAGATGACATCCTGTGCCTGACAGTGAACCAGCACCCCAAGTACAAGAACGTGGTGGCCACCAGCCAGATAGGTACGTGACACCCGGCAAAGCTCCACTCCCAGCTCTCAGGGCACTGCTGGATTTGGGGCCTTTCTGTGGGGAATTCTACTTCTTGTTTCATTTGGAAGAAGTAATCAAGCTCCAGGGTTTTCTTACTGTTTCAGTTCCGTCTCTGATTGTGAGTGATTGGATTTTAGAGTTAATTGGAGTGTAATCATATTTCAGAAGGCAAGCTTTGATAAACTGCCTAATCATCTCAATAATCTGATTTATAGAGCTCCTTTTTTCCTTCCTGTGTCCAAGGCAGTGTTTAGCAGTGAGTACACAATGAGCATCATTTTCTCTGCAGGAATGCAGGAGCTGTGCAGAAAAGGCAGAAACAGAGAGAGATCTCAGCAGGAGTTAGGGGACATATCAGGGGACAGCTGAGAAACCACTGATACGTGGGTTTTGTGTGTTTATTGTTTATATGGAGGGTCTGCAGGAGTAAACATTGCATGGGGAATGCAGGATGGGTTGTCCCAAGCCTTGAGAAGGATCTGCTGTCCCTCTGCCTAAAGCTGAAATAATTCACTTTATGGAGGAGAACGGGGTCCGAACGTCTCCTCAACCCACTCTAGAAGGAGAATGGAATCCATAACTTGAGGACAGGGGCAGGGAATGTTGGTGATGAGCACAGTGACAAACACAAACCCTCTGCTGCCTGTCCTGAGCATGGTCACTGCAGCTGGAATGTGGAGGGAGCACCCAAACCTGCATGTGGTGCCAGAGCTGTACAAAACACTGATTTCTGGGACATGGAAAAGGCTAAAGTCCTTTTCCTAGGCTTCAGGAGATCAGTGCTTCTGAGTTTGATTTGGTATTTTGTATAACTAGAGATTCACTTCACTTTTGAATTTAATAATTGTTAAAACCTGCATGCCTGTAACATTTCTTTTAGATACCATTTTTAAAACTTAAAAGTACTAAATATTGTTGCAATCTTTGTGTATAAAAGCCAATATACCCAAAAAAGTTCAACAATATTCCTGCTTATTTGTTTTCTTAATTTAATCCATATCCATTTCCAAGTTTTTAATTTTGTTTTCCTTCTGGTGCTGATGCTGGCACTTCACATGACTTATTTCACCTATTGTTTTCCCTTGGTGCTTCCTCATTTGCCATTGCTCTCACAATGCAGGTGACATGACAGAATTCCCAGGTAAGGCTGATTTGTGTGTGAATTTAGCAGAGTCCTGTTGAGTTCCATGTTGCCTCGTTGTATCTGTGTGAACCATGGATACAAGTGAAACATCTGCAGGCAATTTCTTTTGCATGAGGCTCTTCATGAATGTTCTGTTCTTTAGAACTTGTCTGACTCCATGGACTACAATGATTCCCCTCCCTGTGTTTTGCAAGCTATTTTGATTTCTCTTTGTTTCCCACTAGTGCTAATCTTCAGACAAATCCAAACCCCCAGCTAATGTCTGTTCAGGTTAAATGTTCTTGACAAATGCCTGGATTGCACTGAAGCTTTCCAGAATTAATTCTCTGTCAATGCCCCTCTCTGCCCACAGGTACAACCCCCACAATTCACATTTGGGATGCCATGAGCAAGCAAACCCTTTCCATGCTGCGCTGCTTTCACACCAAAGGCGTCAATTACGTGAACTTCAGTGCCACGGGCAAACTGCTGGTGTCGGTGGGAGTGGACCCAGAGCACACCATCACTGTCTGGAGGTGGCAGGAAGGTACAGACCAGGGGAAATCGTGGTCCTTCAGCCTCACAGAGCTGGGCACAGTCACTGGCTTTGCCTTTCAAGTCTTTGGAGTTTTGTCTCCCCACTCTATCCCAGTTAATCAGTTAAAGATGGCGAAGGGCTAAAAATATGAACAGGAAGAAGTTTTAAATGCCTATTGTAAGTGGAAATTAAGGAAAGAATGATGCTTAACATAAAATTACATGAAATTAAGGAAAACTATTCCTTTTCTTCCCTAGAACACTTCAAGTACTATGATGGATATAGGCTTTTGGGAGGTAATTTCTACAAGAGAATTATCTTTGGAAATGATGGAGGGGAGAGGAAAAGTGCCTCAGCTCATGAGTGTGTCCCTGTGCATTTCTCACCAGATGACAGCCAACATTTCTGTGTTATTTCACTGACCCAGGAGACAGATTGTGCTATGAAGGCCTCAAATCTGCATTTCCTAAATCTGTGGGATGCAATGGAATAACCAGGGACTTTGGGAATTGCATTAAGATGTTTGATACACTAAACAGTGCTGGGATTTGCAGCTGCCAGCATCTGGGACACAGATCTCTAATCCAATACCAGCTCAATTTATTTGATAAAATCATATCAGAGCTTAATTCCTCAGGTGAATTCAGCTTTGTTTTTATCCTTTCCTCATTAAACCAGGGGCTAAGGTTGCCAGCAGGGGAGGACACCTGGAGAGGATCTTCGTTGTGGAGTTCCGCCCCGACTCCGACACTCAGTTCGTGTCCGTGGGGGTCAAACACATGAAGTTCTGGACCTTGGCTGGCAGCGCTTTGCTCTACAAGAAAGGAGTCATTGGTTCCATGGAAGATGCCAAAATGCAAACCATGCTCTCTGTTGCCTTTGGAGCAGTGAGTTCAAATTACCTGCTGCAGGATTTTACATTACCTTTGTATTAAACCTGCAAGGGTCAGTTTTCTTTGCTGAAATCCAACCCAGTGCTTGTTAGTGAAATGTGGATTTAAAACCTGTGCACCTTGAGATCCTTCCCTGAATTTCCTGAGCACAGCTGGGTGAATGTCTTCTATTAAGTTCTGTTCACACCTACTGCCCTGGGTCTTTTTTTTGCTTTTTTGTTTTACACTTTGCTGGTTATTTATCTGTTTAGCTTAAACTTGATCTGTTATTTCCTGTATCATATTTAATGTGACATGTGCCAGTGATACCACCAATGGTGACAATCCAGTGTGGTCGTTAAAAACTTTTAAATTTAATTTAAGGATTTTACTTGAAGCTGAACAAAAATGCCGAGGTGTGTGTTGTATCAGAGATTGCTGCTGTGTGTTGCAGAATAACCTGACGTTCACTGGTGCCATAAATGGAGATGTGTACGTGTGGAAGGATCATTTCCTGGTCAGGCTGGTGGCCAAGGCTCACACAGGACCAGTGTTCACCATGTACACCACTCTGCGGGACGGGCTCATCGTCACTGGAGGGAAGGAGAGGCCGTAAGACACAGCATCTTCCCAAAGTGCCAGCTTCTGTCTCCCTTGTGTGCTTTTTGTTTTTGTTACTTATCCAGCAGCCCAGGGATAAATGGTCTCTGTGCTGTAGCACCTTTACTCTCAGTTTTGCATAACCTGCCCAGGTGGTTCAGTAAGTGAAGGACTAAAGCAGGATACTTGGGGGTCACAGTGGCACATGTTATGTGGCAGGGAGATGCTGACCCTCTTTGGAATTGTTCCAAACACCTGGAAAAGCTCTTATTACCTGAGCTCCTGCCATGAGTGGAGTTCTCTTCATTTGTTAGTCTTGTCAAACTACAGACAGCCTCTCCCAGTGGAGATGCTGTGGGTCTTGGGATTACCACAAGAAACAGATTGGCCAAGAAACAGATTTGAGATATGTGGCAAGAGAGTAGTTTGGTTTGTAAAAATTATGGTTCATGTTTAAACATGAAGTGTGAAAGCATTTAATTTTTACTATTTACTCCCCATTGCCCCATAATAACAATATGGAGTGGAGAGTGGGTCAGTGTATGTTTAGTGATGTAAGCAGAAAACTGCTGGTGGGATTTCCATGTGTGAAGGAGGCAGCAGGTAACAGCAGGGCTCCTCTGCAGCACGAAGGAGGGGGGAGCAGTGAAGCTGTGGGACCAGGAGATGAAGCGGTGCCGAGCCTTCCAGCTGGAGACCGGGCAGCTCATCGAGTGCGTGCGCTCCGTGTGCCGCGGCAAGGTGAGAGCACGGGGCACAGCTCAGCTGCCTCCTGAGCTGCTGCTGCTGCTTTAAAGCCATAAAACCCCACTGGGAGCTACTGAGACTGGGAGAAGTGGAACACAGTAGAAATAACAGAGGCATTTGTCTTGGTGCATGTGTTTAAATAGTGCATGAGAAAAGAGGCAGCAATGCTGCACAGGGTGGGGCCTGTCCAGCTGAGTGCTCAGGGGATGGTCTCTATTTCATTTTGACACATTCCTTGATAAAAGCACCACTGAGGAATGGTGTTTTATATTTCCAATCAAGGAGCCATTACCAATTGCAAGCTTAATGTGTTTATGCTTTTTCCAAGTATTGGCCAAGGAAGCTCTGGCAGTTTAAACCCTGGCAGTTACTGTTACAATGACCACCTCTCTCCACTCCTCTTCTTTGCCTACAAACAGGGGAAAATCTTAGTGGGAACAAAAGATGGAGAAATCCTTGAAGTAGGAGAAAAAAATGCTGCTTCTAACCTGTTAATTGACTGTCACATGGAAGGGGAAATCTGGGGCTTGGCAACTCACCCCTCCAAAGACATCTTTATCTCTGCAAGCAACGACGGAACAGCCAGGATCTGGGACCTGTCGGACAAAGTGAGTACTGTGAATGTGAAAGTCTGGGATTAAAAATGAGCATTTTATCCAAGCATCCATTTTTCCAGTTGTGCTTTTGAGCAGCCCTGGAATGAGAGCAGAGTTTTGCCTCTGTCCTGAGCAGGTTTTGATCATGTTTGGCACCAGCACTCCCAGAGGAATGCAGGGATTCACCAGCACACCTGCTCATGGAGTGCCTCTTGTTGGGCATTGTTTATTTTGATCCCATTCTGCAGGCTGGGGGATCAAAGAAGCATTTTAATCCCACATTGCATGTCTGGGTGACACAGACTGTACTGTCACACACACAGCCCCTGCCCATCATTCTGCCTTCCTGGCAGGCACAGCTCCCTCTTCTTCAGAGCCTTCCTTTGGAACTCTGCATGTTGCCTCAGGGATTTTTGCAAGTCAGATTGACTAACAACAACCATTTGTTAAAAACAACAGATAAAACATTATCTGTTAATGTTTTATCATTAAAAAAATGATAAAACATTAAAAAAAAAACACACCAGGAAGTTTTCAGTTCATTTTGGCCAGCATAAACCTTTCCAAAAGCTTATTACCTTAGCTAACAGGATAATTTTTAATGAGGAAAATTAATCTATTATAAATACAACCAGCTAGGTGAGAATGCAAGAGCTTTCGAGGACATTTCCATGTACCAAATGAAATGGGAGAGCTCTGTGCCAATCAGCAGTTGTTGAAGATGTCAAAGTCACCTTTGAAACAAATTAGGAAATAGATTTTTCAGCTTGTTCTGCTAAATAGTTATTTTTCTAGTGTGAAACTCGATGTCAGTCTACAAAATAATGCAAACATGAACCCCCATCCAAATCACATCTCTATTTTGAAGCCTGCTTAGCGACATATGCCTGGTGGGATGTGAGTCTCGGTGTGACATTTCAGGTTTATGTTTAGAGGGAAACAGAGCGGATTTGTTTTGAATTAAGCAGGTTCTGTGCTTTGTGTTTGGAAGCTCTGGGTGTGCTGGGGAGGTGTGAGCCTGTTCCGTGTCCCTGCAGAAGCTGGTGAACAAGGTGAGCCTGGGGCACCCCGCGCGCTGCGCCGCCTACAGCCCCGACGGGGAGATGGTGGCCATCGGCATGAGGAACGGCGAGTTCGTGCTCCTGCTCGTCAACAGCCTCAAGGTCTGGGGCAAGAAGCGGGACAGGAAATCTGCAATTCAGGACATCAGGTAGGAGGTGCTCAAAATACACAGCTCTGCCTCGAGGGAATGGCCGTGGGGTGCCAGGGGGATTTGCAGAGGTTTTGTAAATCTGTGTTTGTTGGAACCTGTGTGAGCTGGTGAAGGGCACTGTGGTGGGGCTTTAATTCAGTTCCAGCCACCCTGCACAACTGGAATTATGGGAATTAATTCTCCAAATTGCAGTTCCTGTTGCTGACTCCAGAGGATTGGTGTTGCTCTGCACACTGTGCTGTGGCTTTATGCAAGTGCAATATTAGCATCATTTAGCCACAAACAATACAGAATAGAGTCATGGAATGGTCTGGGTTGGAAGGGACCTTAAAGCTTATCCAGTCCCACCCCTTGCCATGGCAGGGACACCTTCCACTGTCCCAGCTTGCTCCAAGCCCTGTCCAACATAGCTTTCAACACTTCCAGTTGTGGGACAGCCACAGCTTCCCTGGGGAACCTGGGCCTGTGCCTGACCACCCTCACAGGCAACAATTCCTTCCCAATATTCCATTTAACCCTGTCCTCTGTCACAGATATCCTGAGTTTTCCTCTTCTCTTAAGCATCAAGTTTTGGTTTAGGCTCAGTCTTGCTGTTGATGGAAGGTTTTTTGTGTTTTTCATTTAAAAAGATTACTGTCACATTAGCATGAGAAGCAAAAGCAAATCTTGCACCAAAACAGCCAGTGACATCCCCACTCCGTGTTTTATTGCCTAGGATCAGCCCAGATAACAGGTTTTTGGCAGTGGGCTCACAAGAACATACTGTGGATTTTTATGATCTCACTCAAGGCACAACCCTGAACCGAATTGGCTACTGCAAGGACATTGCCAGTTTTGTCATTCAGATGGATTTCTCTGCAGACAGCAGGTACATCCAGGTATGTCTGGGATAGCCCCCACAGTGCTGGGTTTACTGGGCCACCATAACGAGGTGCAGGCTCCAGCTGTGCTAAGGGCAAAGCTGTATCCAGGTCAATGGAAGGGAAACAATGCTGAAAGAGAAATTGTGGATTATAACCATATGAAAGCCTTTCCCTTCTTCCCTGAGGCTGGGATGTGTGTGAGAGCTCAGTTGTTTTAATTAAAGTGTTAATTTGAAGGGGTTTAATTCAGAAATATTTCTGATTTAGTAAGATTATGTTGAGATAAAGTAAAGCATAGAAGTGAGAGAAAATCTGTCAGCTCTGCATGAGAGCAGCTCCTTCCATCATCATCCTGTAACATTGTTATTCCTTTATATAGCATGTGATGAATGCCAGATTATGAGGAAAAAAGAGAAATGTTATCCTAGATGTTTAATTGCTGATTAACCTGGTGAGACTGTTGGAAATTTTAAAGAAAACAATGTGTTTATAGCAGTCTCCAGGTTTTTCCTTTCCCACTTTCAGGTATCCACAGGTGCCTACAAGCGTCAGGTTCACGAGGTGCCCCTGGGAAAGCAAATCACAGACCCTGCAGTCATAGAGAAAATCACCTGGGCCACGTGGACCAGGTAAGAGCCAAGGGGAGCACTGGGATCAGTCACAGGTTTGGGTGTCAATGCTGAGGTGTCCCCAGGGCCTGGCAAACCTGTGAGCACCCCCAGGCTCTGCTTCTCCAGAGCTCCTGTGACACCCTTGGGGTTTTACAGCTCTGGCTGTTTGGTGGCTGTAGTAATTAGTGCTGGTAATTACACCAGGGGCTGTCACAGAGCCACAGTGGCTCATTGCCACTCCTCCCAGGCCCCTCACACGGCTCTGGGCCACTCCAGGCAGCCTTGTCCCACATCAGCAAGCACAGCAGCACAGGAGGCCTGGAAACCTGCACTGATTGTATGGAGGAGTTCTGAGTGTCACTAAAATGATTTCCTGATGTGGATGAACACAGGAATCTGCCCCAGCAGTGCAGAACTGTGGCTGTGCTTGCTCTTCCTGTGAGAAGTGCGACAGGCCAAAGGCAGAGCTGACAGGGGGTGACAACCAGGCAGGGCTGGGAGAAGGTAAATGAGAATCCTCCTACTCTGACTGCTCTGCTGGCATAAAAATCTGCCCCAAATTCCCCATTTCAGAGGACTCCTGACAGCTGGTGGGAGGGGCAGATGCCTCTGGCAGTGACTCTGTGGGTAAATGATTACAGAGAGCTGAAGCCAGGCTAGAACACCTGTTTCTGAGAACAAGGGGACATAGAGACAAGCACTCCCTCATTTGGGAATTCACAGCTAAGGGAACAGTGCAGTCAGGAATCCTGGGGGAAGGCTCATAGAGACCAGAGCTGCACAAGGTGCTGGTGTAGAATGATGCCAGTGGTTTCATGGGAAATAAACCTAAGGATTAATGGATAGAGATTGTGTAAGAATCACATCAAAATGATGTATTAGTGTGCTGGTCTCCATGATGAGCTCAAGGGCAATCATTTAAAGGGACAATTTTATTTTAAATGCAGCAATTTTTTATTACTGACCTGTATTGGCTCAGCCCCCTGTGGAAGAGCAGCAGCAAGTTAAGTCTTATGGTCTAATCTATTTTATTTACCTTGATTTTGGAACAGCATTCTTGGAGACGAAGTCATTGGGATCTGGCCACGAAATGCAGACAAAGCCGATGTCAACTGTGCCTGTGTGACCCACGCTGGCCTGAACATAGTGACAGGAGATGACTTTGGGCTGGTCAAGCTGTTTGACTTCCCATGCACAGAGAAATTTGTAAGTGCCTCTTTTATTTTCACCTGAGCAGCTTTTGCTTTTCCCAGACCCCTCAGCACTCGGGGCTACAGCACCCAACAGCAGGGCCCATCCACAGGGAGTGAAAAGGCCTTGGGCTCAGCCTGGCTCTGGGCACAGAGCTGTGCCTGGTGCCAGCCCTGAGCTCTCTCCTGTCCCACAGGCCAAACACAAGCGCTACTTCGGGCACTCGGCGCACGTCACCAACATCCGCTTCTCGCACGACGACAAGTTCGTGGTGAGCACCGGAGGGGACGACTGCAGGTAACGGGCTGGGGCTGACTGGGACACTCACACAGAGCCAGACACACACACACACAGGGACAGAGAGCCAGGCACACACACACACAGGGACACAGAGCCAGGCACACACACACACACACACAGGGACACAGAGCCAGGCACACACACACACACACAGAAAGGGACACAGAGCCAGGCACACACACACACACACACACACACACAGAAAGGGACACAGAGCCAGGCACACACACACACACACACAGGGACACAGAGCCAGGCACACACACACACACAAAGGGACACAGCCACGTGGGTGTGCACATGCACAGACACCACACAGCCACACTAACACAAGCCACACAGACACATCTCACACACAAATGCACTGCACACACATGGTACATGTGCACACACATGGGCACACAGTGTGCCCATACAGCAGACATGGATACACACAGGGCACACACACAGACACAGAGTACACGCACACACATACACACACAGAGATGCACAAAGATACACCCAGACACACACACACACACACTGCATGTGCAGACACACAGTGCACACACATAGGGCACACACAGTGCACACAGAAATGCACAAAGATATACTTAGATACTGCATACACACAGACACACACAGGGCATAGACACTGCCCACAGAGCACAAGCAGAGCAAATATAGGCACACAGCACACACACAGACACATAGAGTGCACACACAGTGTCACACACACACAAATTGTGCACACTGCACATACAACACATAGTGCTCACATTGCAGACAGAACAACTGTGCACAGTATACTTCTCTCTCTCTCTCTCTCTCACACACACACACACACACACACACACACACACACACACACACAGAGTCTGTACTTCACACACCCAGTGTATTTATTTTCTGCTCCTGTCTCACTGGGCTGTGCCCAAGGCCAATCCCTGCTGTCCCTCCTGTCTCCCCAGTGTGTTTGTGTGGCGCTGCCTCTGAGGAGCCTCTGGCTGCTGCTGTCCTGCCCCAGCGAGGGGCTGTGCTGGCCAGGACAGCCAGGAATGCCCCCCTGGCTGCAGGAATCCCAGCCCTGCTGCAGGCTGACATTTCCAGATCACTCATCCCAACCTATCAAAAGGGAATGGGAGCTGGCCGTGGAAAGCCCGACACCCTTGTGAAGGAAGCTGAGGTTTGAAGGGTAACCTGGGGATCCCACAGGGATGAACAGTTCACTCACAAAGCTGCTTTTGCCTAATACTGTGTTGTTCAAACCGTGTCTGAAAAGGGAGAAAATGCTGACAAAATGCTGGGCCCTTTAATTTCCTAATTTGTGGCTTGAACAAAGTTCAAAAAGTGGGTGGGTGTTAACCACACCTGCTTAAAACTCCAATTTGGTGCACTCAGTAAAGCTGGGAGCATTTAATGAGCAGGCTGGGGAGGGGGGAGGTAACCCTTCAGCTTTCATTAATTGAAGGAGCAAAGTATCCCTTTTTTTTAAGTCCATTTTATTTTTAAATATATATATTTGGCAGAATTTTCTATCCATGAAGTGCCTTGGAATAATTTTCTAGTAGTTTGGGCTGCAGCCTTGCCTCCCCCCACCTGCTTTCCACACACGGTGCTATGACTCTCACCCAGAGGAGGGCTAAACCATTCTCACCTTTTCCAGCTGGTTACTTACATGATCCCTGTTTTCTGCTTTGAGTTTTAATACCTTCACAAGTGAATTCCCCACTGTTTCTGTGCTGTCAGAAGGCCAAAGTGAGGCATTCCAGCTCCTGGGCAGCTGCTCCTGCAGTCAGCAAGTTCAGTGCAAGCTGAACTCCAGCAGTGAGTGAGAGGAGAGGGTTTGGACAGACTTGGTTCAAGACATTTGAACACAAGATTGAGGGAGTCATTCCCCAAGTGTTCCTGCATGCTCCCCCTTTCTGGGAAAATGTGCTTTACACTCCTACAGGCAGTGGCCAGCCAGAATCTTGGCCTGGTGGGAAAGCCTCCATCAATCCCTCTTTCCTGTTCTGGAGGGGGATCCTAGGCCTCCAAAGGAATCCCTGGAATGTCCCTATGGCAGGGCTTTGTGTGCCCTCCAGCCAGTCCATGCTGCTTGTAAGTAAAACATAAATTCCCCAATGCCAGGAAATGCAGCTTTTGTTTTTGGGAAAAGCTCATCATGGCTGACTCTGGGCTCCTCTCCCTGTCCCTGCTTCTCCCTCACCCCACAGAGCCCCCTGTCCTGGCCTGGGGGACAGCTGAGATCAGAGGAGAGCTGCCCCCGTGGAAAAGTGGAACCATGGACAGATATTCCCAAAAGGCAACTCAAACCCTTCACTATTTGTTAGAACATTTTGTCAAAAACAAAAACTCAAGGGAGGGTGGAACTCAAGAACGTTTAAAAAGAAATAGCTTAAATACATATTTTGCTATTCAAGATTCTGGGCATGGAACAACATCCATACTTTGAAATTACCTTTCTTAATTAAAAGAAATAAAGGCCAAAATAAAACATTTACACTTACATTTAGTCTCTGAAAAGCAATAGTGCTTTAGTCCCAGTTCAGGACAATAGGATTTTGAACTCTGGAACCTTCCTGCCAGTCCGTTTCTGCTGCCCACTGCACAGAAAAGTAGCAAAAACATCCCATTAAAGGAGTGGATTCCTGTCTGTTTAACACACAAAGTGCTTCAGCAACCTCAAAGAATCACCTTTTTTTTTACAATTGAATTTATTAATGCCTTATATGACTATACAGCAGAGCAGTTTGTCAGATACACAGTACGAGTCCCTATGCAGTCTTTTTTTCAAAGAACCTTCGGGGTCAAATCCTGTTCTGTCAGGTGGTGCCAGCAGTGAGCACCTCTGCCTGTGTTGTACCACTCATGTTTGCCTTCCTTCCACGTTGATTGTATCCCAAATAAAACCAGTTGTGTGGCAGAATGAATTAATCAACAGTGATGTGAGAAATATCTTCAAGCAATAGTGTCTGTCAGGAAAACACTTACCTACGGTTTGTATGTTTCTATGGTCTGGCTTCCTGTATAAAATGCTCAGAAGTAATGCTGTATTTTACTGGAAAATGAAATATTAATGCATGAATTTCTATTTTTCAATGGTCAAGATGCCATTCAGTTAAAATCTGCATCTCAAATAAATTTGTACACAAGTTTGCAATGTCCAGCTCTTAAATCAGAATCAACACCTGGAAAAATTATTGGGACTTACTTCCTTCAAACTTGAAAATGGCATCAACCATTCCTGTCTCAAAACTCCAAGACCCAACACCCTCTGGAGCTCCCTGGGACACTGGAGGTGGCCCTGAGCAGCTCCTTCAGGCTGCAGAGGAAGGAAAGGGACCGTGACAAACCCACCCTGCACCGCGCTCTACTCGGACACTACTGCCACCACCATGGACAATGGAAATTTATCACAAGGAACTTCAAATAAACACAAATCTATTAAACTTGCCTCAAGAAAGCCAAATACTGGTATCATTTTATGTCTATAAGCTTTATTGATACTTGGGGTTTTGGGGTTGGTTTTTTTTTCCTTTTTTGTTGGGATTTTTTTTACATTTCACAATGCATTCCACAGACTTAGTTCAGTACAGCTCAAACTGCAAGTGTATAAATTTTCACTTATCATTTTCTTGCATAACAGGACAGGGCTTTAAGTTTCCAAACAACATTTGCAGCATTAGATACTCGGTCCACAGATTATCAGAGTCTGAAAGCTGGAGAATTATTTGCTCAAGATCAACTACTGTACGTTTGTGCAACAAAGTGTATGCTGTAAGTTTCTTTTACTCTGTGTGGAGGTTCTTTGTTCATTTCTCTTTTGTTGTTTCCAACAGATGCCAGTGTTTACAGAGACTTTTTAGTTTCTCAAGCTTGTGTGCTCTGGAGCTCGTCCAGGCCTCAGTCAGTTCTCTGAAGTACAAAGCACTGTGGAGCAGCTGAAAGATCTAAGCTTTGTGAAACACATATATATATATATATATATATATTGGCAATTGATAAAACAAAATCACAATACAGCTATACTCATACCAAAAAGGCAAGATTTTTCAAAACTTGCTAAACTGGTATATTCTTCTAAAACATCTCATTTTAGAAAATCTGCATCAATCTACACAGACCATACACAGTGCACAAACTGGGAAGTGTTCTCCTCTGCCCCACCTGCTCTACACCTCGGGCACGCAGCAGGAACTACCTCTGCTGAAGCAAATGTACAGCTGTCTCAGTCGTTTGTATTAGCCAGTGCTGCACACAGGATAAGGAAAGATGATTAGTTTAGATCCATACATAGCAGCTTACAATACTTAAAGATGATGAAACACATGGCAGTCAAAACAGTTATTTTTCCTCAAACACTGCGTTGCTAAAAAATAAAGATCTGTGAAATTGCACTGCAATGTCAAGGGGTTTGCTATTCCCTGACCCTCCCCATGTAAATCCAATGAGTATTTTTCCCCCTTAAAAGATGAACTTTCTTTCCTATTGATAAGTTGCTTCAGGTTTATTTTATTCAGTTTTGCGCTTCAACCCAGGGATCTTTGCTTGGATCCTGCAAGAGGAAACAAAAAAAAATAGACAAAGCTAAGTTTGAGTAACAAAAAAGGAAAGGTTAAACAGCAACATGTGAAAAGAACCCTCCCAACACAGCTTTGTACTCAGAGCCCAGTGACATTGCTGAACTTCTCATTCCCCCCTCACCTGCACCTGCTGTGGGGCTCAGCTGTCACTAATGGGTTCACATACGCAGATTTCTATTAGAAATAACAGAGGCTCATTTCAATACAGCATCGGCAATACAGGAGCTCATTTCCTAACCAGTCCAGAGTCTGAGACCTTTTCCCTCCTTGGCCTGGCACATGGAAGAACACAGTGGTCCTAGACAGGAGTGCCACGTGTGCCAGGAACTGTTATCAGCACAAAGGAAAACAAATAAACCCAAACCAACTCACTTTGCCATGGCATCTTTGACATTCTTGTTCACGAGTCCCAGGTAATGGTCGATTTGGGCCTGGAATTGAAGCAGGAAGAAGTTACAGCCCAGCTCCTCCTCTGCAGCCTGGCTGAGTCCCACAAACTCTGTGGGTGCAGGGCTGGGCCCCCTTGGGCCCCAGAGAACAGCAAAGCTGCTTAGCTGGGCCAGGCTGGGTAACCAGCTTAGGCTGCAGCCCAGCCAGGGGATTGAGCACTCGGGTTAAGCCCCACACTGTGTCCCTGCTCCTGCCCTGGGGCTCCAGGGCCCTTTCCCTGTGGAGGAGGAGCCTGGGCAGGACCCCGTGAGGCTCTGCCATCTGCTCCTGCCCCCACGGCTGCCGTGCTGTTGAAAGGGGAGACCAAGGGCTGAGCCAGAGCTGGCTGCCCCCTCCTGTGCAGTGACCTGCCCAAGACAGCCTTGGCCATAATTTAATCACAAGTATTTTATTTTGGCTCCTTCCTCCCTACTCCTTTTACAGGGGAGTCTCTCCCCAAGAGCAGCCCTGGACTGGGCCAAGCAGCTCCCACCTCTTGTTTTTGCCAGGGCTACAAATTCCACAGAGCTTTGGGAAACCAATCCTGAATACCAACCCCAAAAGGTACAGCAGGATTAACACACCCTCCCCAGTGCTGCTCCAGCCCTGACCAAAGCTGGACCAGCAGAAAAGGCCTCCAAGTTCATCAGGCCCTTTCCAGAACTGTTTGCTGGGGAAACCTCTTCTTCCACCAAGAAGGAAAAGGGAAAGCACACACAGTCTGAACTTCAAACTGAACTAGTGCTCCCTGGCCCTGGTTCCTGGGTAAAGGCCTGTTTCAAAGGCTTTAAATATTTCAGAAGACTGAAATTAATGTTAATTATTTGTTTCTGGTTTTGCTTCAAGCTGATTTTATGAAACATTGAATGAATTCTATTAAACACTCACCTGATGTCTCTCATAAATAACAGGAACGCTGAAGAGCGAAATCAAAGCTGGAAAAGAGCACATCAAATGCATAAATATTGACAACAGGGATGGTGTTCAGGCAGAACAAGGACTGGTTTCCACACCTTGATATGTCTTACAAAAAGGTCCAAGAAAAATGAACAATTAAGCCCCGTGCACCAATTGTTGGCTAGAAAATTCAATAATCCCTACTAAGGAGAGCCTGAGCTGTTCTCCAGGTCTCACCACCAGTACAGTTAAGTCTGGTCACAGGAGAGATGGGGGGGGTCATGCAAATTCTTCCCAAAGGCTGCTCAGGCATCACTTGGTTCTGACATCTGAAAGCCAGCCTGCTCTGGGATATAAGAAATTGAATCCTGCAGTGGACATGGCCACAGCAGATCCTGCACCTCCTCCTCCTAAGTCCCAGCACAGCAATGACATTGAGGGCAGGCTAAGCCTGACAGGGACAAGCACAACAAACCTGCCTATAAATCACGGAATGGCTGGAGATCAGCAATCTCAGGGAATTCAACAACAGAACTCAAAATTATCTGTTCTGCTGTATTATAAAAAAAAAGAACTTAGAAGTGCAACATCCTAAGGCTACAGGATGAGCCCCCCAGTGACCAGACCCCACTGCCTCCCCAAGGTTATTGGGTGTGCCAGGTGTGTAACAAACACTTACCCAGGATCAGTAATGTCAGACCATTGAACAAGGCACCAACGTAAGTGAACACCCACATCAACACTGCAAACTGCAAGGGAAAAAGAGCCCATCAGCACCACTCTGTGCCCAGGACATCCCATCTGCTGCACACACAAATTCCCATCCAAACAGCCCCAAAGTGCTCTGCACTTCAGCCCTGTGCAGCTCCTGTAACCAGAGCTGCCTGATGAGAGGGCTCAAGGATGCAGTAATGGGATATGGGGCCTGCTGTGTGCAGTCACGGGGCTGAACTCAGCCCGAGTCAGCAGTGCCCAAGCACTGCCCTGGGCACTGCCCTGTGCCCAAACACTGCCCGGTGCCTGCCCTGGGCACTGCCAGCTGCATGGCAAACACACAGCTCCAGAGAGGGGACAGGCCAGGCTCAGAGAGGCCAAAGGGCTGCTGCATGACAGAGCCAGAGAGAAGGGAGGTCACAGCTGTGTGTGTCCCACCCAATGTCCACCGACCTTGCCCAGCCATGCCCTGACGCAGCAGGAAAAGCCTGTCTGGAAGGTAACGGGGTAGGGTGGGCTTGATTTACCTTTTCTCCTTCAAAAAACCCTAAGACACTTTGGATGTTAAAAAGTTTAGGAACAAGAGGAGTGACAAGTGCTCCAACATGGAAGCTGGCTCCAGGTCAGAGCCAAGCTCAGAAGCAAAGCCATCCCCAAAGCCCCACACTGCCAGCACTGCTGGCTCCCTGTCTCAGCCCCATCCTCCCTCCCTGCTGACAGCACTTGTGCAGCTCCTGGTGGGACACAGGCTCTGCTTCCCAGCTCCACACAAAGCTGTGCCCACACTCAGTGCCAGGTGGAGTGTCCCAGGCACACCTCTGACCTATAGCAGGGGGAGGGGACCCAGGGCTGCCAGCTCTATTTCGGGGTAGGATTCCTCCTGAGGAAAATCAGCCCTTTCTTCTAGAGTTGCAGGAGTGCTGAGCAGCAGCCAGGAGCAGCAGCTTCCCCAGAGTTTATTCCTTGCTCTGCCCAGAGCAGAGACCCCCAGCCCTGGGAGCTCAGCACGTGGGGCTGTTTTCCAGCAGAACCCTGGACAGACACCATGAGAGGGCTGGCACTGGCACCAGGGAGGGCAGAGCTGGGCACAGTGACCAACCCAAGATGGAAACTCCCACCAACAGGAGCTACACCCAAGGAAAGGATGGGCACAAAGAGCTGGCAAGGAAAACAAGGCATGGTGGCAGTGTGGGTGTGGGCCAGGACCCTGGAACTGGCCTGCAGCCAAGCTACTCTGAACTTCCATATCCCAACATCCAATTTTAGCTTATCAAAGGATGTAAAATATCCAAACCAAACAAAATCAACAGCCAGCCACAAGATAAGGGCATTGATAGTCAATACAAGTTTAATTCCATGAACCCTGCAACAACATCAAGCTGACTTCAAGAGCTTCACTCAAAACTGGTCTAAAACTCAGGTGCATTAACTGCAAATGATGCAGTTCTTTATCTGTCAGCACTTCTGAGATGTGACACAGCAGCACCAGGGAGGAGCACACAGTTAACCCTCAGAGAGGCTGTACCATTCCTAGCAGCTGAGGGATTCTGGCAGGTTTCTCAAGGAGAATAAAGCAGATTTGCTGAACTCCCTCATAAGTGATTCAAACCCCGGCCCAGTTGTGCCCTGCAATGCCAGGGTGAGCCTGGAGCTGATCCCTCTGCACCAAGCATTTTACTGGAGCAAACACTTCCATGCTGGAGCACCTGCACATGGAGCACATCCACCAGAGAGGGAAGGAAGTCACCAGCCTGCACTGGGCAAAGAGCCCCTGATGGTTTACAGTGGCTGTCCTGCATCCCACCAGCCATCCCTGACCTGCTCCCCATGGACACAATTGCTGAAGCTCAGCACACCCAGCCAGCTCAGCAGCCAGGACACAGCTGATGACTCTGCCCAGGGCAGAAATGGGAGTTTACGTAAGCACAGGGGTAACAAGACACAAATCAATCCCAAAGTCCAATAATTATCAGAACCATCAATTATTTGTTTTAGTAAGCATTGAATTTATGGTTCAAGACAGAGCAAAATCCAGGAGTTCACATCTGACTACACAAGCTGCTCTCCACCCAAAGGCTGTCCAGGGCAGCCTCAGGGCAGAAGCAGGAACTGCTGCATGTGCAGGTTTAACTCCCTGCTCTTACAGTGGATGGGAGAGGCACCCTGGTCCCACAGCTCCTCCCTCTGCACTCCTCTGACACTTCCAGCAGCACTCCCAGGATTACCCAGCCTGGAGTCCATCTCAACCCCACATTTCCTTACTGGTCACTGTTTTCTTTTCCTTATAAACTATGCAAACCCAGGGACCCTCACAGACACAACAAAGCTTACCTGAAACACACCTCAGACACCTTTACAAACACAAAAACCTTCCCTGAAACACCTCTAAATAAAGCTCTAAGGCAAGAAGAAGAAAGCAGAAGGCAGCCCAGGATCCAGGCTTGGTCCTTCCAAGGACCTGCACACCAGTGA